AGTGCTTCTCCTTCCTCAGCCTCCCGAATAGCTGGGATGATAGGCATGTGCCATCACACCCAGCTAATTTTTGTATTTTTAGTAGAGACAGGGTTTCACCATGTTGGCCAGGCTGGTCTTGATTTCCTGACCTCAGGTGATCCAACCACCTTAGCCTCCCAAAGGTCTGGGATAACAGGTGTGAGCCATTGCACCCTGCCAGGATTTTAAGAAGGGTATATAGTCAGGAAGAGTAAATGCAATATGGAGGGTCAAAGAAACTAGAAAAGGCCATTTGATTTTTGTATTTTTTAGTAGACATTAAAACTATTTTCTAAGCTCTTATGAAAAATTTTTGTTGTGAAGCTGAACCTAAATTGCTTTAGAGCCTGTTTTTCACCTGCTGTGCTGTGCAGTAAGATTTAAGAAAGTGAATCTTTAGTATTTTGGCACCATTTCTTATACTTTTCTTAGATATGGCAAAGGCAGTCCTTTGCCATATCTAACACCTTTGCCAAATTTCATTGCTTGTTTTCTGTATTTAGTTTACTTTTGAAACAAATACTTGTGTTCTCTTGGAATTCTGACACCTTATGTACCCTGTGAAGAAAATTGTTTGGAATTTATTTTGCAGCAGAAGGAATGTTGTTAATATGTGTGTAAATGGCCCTTGAAATAAGGCTTAATGGAACTTTGTGAGGGTTATTTTCATTTGTTTGAGGGATTATAGTTAACTCTTGAATAAACTGTTACAATTGACAAAAATTGGTTTCTGTGAGACTTGTCGGTGTATTTTTGAAAAATATACATTTCTTTTTTAGCACATTTGCTTTCTTACCTTACAGAAGTACAATTCTTTTTGTATAAATGTATATAGTAGCATCTTTTGATTCAGTATGGTTGGGCTTCTTAAATAAATACTTGAATATGCTGTGCCAAGTGGTGGTTTTATAACATATATATGCCCTCTGCTGGTGAAAATGCATTATTGCTCTGAATTTAATAGCTTTGGTAATTTCTATGAATGAAATGATACTTTCAAAAGTAGTCATAAAACTAAACTTGGGGAAAAATACCCTTGTCATTTGAAAGGAATCCTCTCTTTGGGACAGTTTTGGGCAATGAATTATTCTGCCGAAAATGCCAGTTGTGCCCTGATTGAGAAGTATTGACCTAATAAACTGATGACGATTTTTACATTGTGGCTGCCTCTCTGTGTTTTTTAAAGTTTTTCTGTAAGTTCTAGATTTATCCTGTCCCATGTGGAAGTCACTAGCCATAAGGCTATTTAGCCAAATTTAAACATTCTCTTCCTTAGTCCCATATTTCTAGGCTTAATAGCCACTGTGGCTAGGAGCTAATGTGTTGGATAATGCAGATTATAGGATGTTTTTAGCATCAGGGAACATACAGTTGGACAGTGCTGTTTTAATTTTTAAATTTTAAAAAATGAGGATTATCATTTTCATGAAGTAATCATTATCTTAAATTTGTGATGAATTTCTTTGCCATGTATTCTTTTCACATAATAGCAGTTTCTTTCTTTTTTTTTTTTTTAATTTTTTATTGGATTATAGGTTTTCGGGTACATGAGCAGAGCATGTAAGACAGTTGCGTAGGTACACACATGGCAGTGTGCTCTGCTTTTCTTCTCCCCTTCACCCACATTTCGCATTTCTCCCCAGGCTATCCCTCCCCACCTCCCCTTCCCACTGGCCCTCCCCTTTTCCCCCCAATAGACCCCACTGTTTAGTACTCCCCTTTCTATGTCCATGTGTTCTCATTTTTCATCACCCACCTATGAGTGAGAATATGCGGTGTTTCATTTTCTGTTCTTGTGTCAGTTTGCTGAGGATGATGTTCTCCAGATTCATCCATGTCCCTACAAACGACACAAACTCATCATTCTGATTGCTGCATAATATTCCATGGTGTATATGTGCCACATTTTTCCAATCCAGTCTATTATCAATGGGCATTTGGGTTGATTCCAGGTCTTTGCTATTGTAAACAGTGCTGCAATGAACATTTGTGTACATGTGTCCTTATAGTAGAACAATTTATAGTCTTTTGGATATATACCCAGTAATGGGATTGCTGGGTCAAATGGAATTTCTATTTCTAAGGCCTTGAGGAATCGCCACACTGTCTTCCACAATGGTTGAACTAATTTACACTCCCACCAACAGTGTAAAAGTGTTCCTTTTTCTCCACATCCTCTCCAGCATCTGTTGTCTCCAGATTTTTTAATGATCGCCATTCTAACTGGCGTGAGATGGTATCTCAATGTGGTTTTGATTTGCATCTCTCTGATGACCAGTGACAATCAGCATTTTTTTATATGATTGTTGGCCTCATATATGTCTTCTTTCGTAAAGTATCTGTTCATGTCCTTTGCCCACTTTTGAATGGGCTTGTTTGTTTTCTTCCTGTAAATCTGTTTGAGTTCTTTGTAAATTCTGGATATCAGCCCTTTGTCAGATGGGTAGACTGTGAAAATTTTTTCCCATTCTGTTGGTTGCCGATCCACTCTAGTGACTGTTTCTTTTGCCGTGCAGAAGCTGTGGAGTTTCATTAGGTCTCATTTGTCTATTTTGGCTTTTGTTGCCAATGCTTTTGGTGTTTTGTTCATGAAGTCCTTGCCTACTCCTATGTCCTGGATAGTTTTGCCTAGATTTCCTTCTAGGGTTTTTATGGTGCCAGGTCTTATGTTTAAGTCTTTAATCCATCTGGAGTTAATTTTAGTGTAAGGTGTCAGGAAGGGGTCCAGTTTCTGCTTTCTGCACATGGCTAGCCAGTTTTCCCAACACCATTTGTTAAACATGGAATCCTTTGCCCATTGCTTGTTTTTGTCAGGTTTATCAAAGATTCTATAGTTGTATGTATGTTGTGTTGCCTCCGGTGCCTCTGTTTTGTTCCATTGGTCTATATCTCTGTTTTGGTACCAGTACCATGCTGTTTTGATTACTGTAGCCTTGTAGTATAGTTTGAAATCCGGTAGTGTGATGCCCCCCGCTGTGTTCTTTTTGCTTAGAATTGACTTGGCTATGCGGGCTCTCTTTTGGTTCCATATGAAGTTCATGGTGGTTTTTTCCAGTTCTGTGAAGAAAGTCAATGGTAGCTTGATGGGGATAGCGTTGATTCTGTAAATTACTTTGGGCAGTATAGCCATTTTCACGATATTAATTCTTCCTAACCATGAACATGGAATGTTTCTCCATCTGTTTGTGTCCTCTCTGATTTCATTGAGCAGTGGTTTGTAGTTCTCCTTGAAGAGGTCTCTTACGTTCCTTGTGAGTTGTATTCCAAGGTATTTTATTCTTTTTGTAGCAATTGCGAATGGCAGTTCGCTCTTGATTTGGCTTTCTTTAAGTCTGTTATTGGTGTAGACGAATGCTTGTGATTTTTGCACATTGATTTTATATCCTGAGACTTTGCTGAAGTTGCTTATCAGTTTCAGGAGTTTTTGGGCTGAGGTAATGGGGTCTTCTAGGTATACTATCATGTCGTCTGCAAATAGAGACAATTTGGCTTCCACCTTTCCTATTTGAATACCCTTTATTTCTTTTTCTTGCCTGATTGCTCTGGCTAGAACTTCCAGTACTATATTGTATAGGAGTGGTGAGAGAGGGCATCCTTGTCTAGTGCCAGATTTCAAAGGGAATGCTTCCAGTTTTTGCCCATTCAGTATGATATTGGCTGTTGGTTTGTCGTAAATAGCTTTTATTACTTTGAGATACGTTCCATCGATACCGAGTTTATTGAGGGTTTTTAGCATAAAGGGCTGTTGAATTTTGTCAAATGCCTTCTCTGCGTCGATTGAGATAATCATGTGGTTTTTGTTTTTGGTTCTGTTTATGTGGTGAATTACGTTGATAGACTTGCGTATGTTGAACCAGCCTTGCATCCCCGGGATGAATCCTACTTGATCATGATGAATAAGTTTTTTGATTTGCTGTTGGAATCGGCTTGCCAATATTTTATTGAAGATTTTTGCATCTATGTTCATCATGGATATTGGCCTGAAGTTTTCTTTCCTTGTTGGGTCTCTGCCTGGTTTTGGTATCAGGATGATGTTGGTCTCATAAAATGATTTGGGAAGGATTCCCTCTTTTTGGATTGTTTGAAATAGTTTTAGAAGGAATGGTACCAGCTCCTCCTTGTGTGTCTGGTAGAATTCGGCTGTGAACCCGTCTGGACCTGGGCTTTTTTTGTGTGGTAGGCTCTTAATTGCTGCCTCAACTTCAGACCTTGTTATTGGTCTATTCATAGTTTCAGCTTCCTCCTGGTTTAGGCTTGGGAGGACACAGGAGTCCAGGAATTTATCCATTTATTCCAGGTTTACTAGTTTATGCGCATAGAGTTGTTTGTAATATTCTCTTATGATGGTTTGAATTTCTGTGGAATCTGTGGTGATTTCCCCTTTATCATTTTTTATTGCATCTATTTGGTTGTTCTCTCTTTTCTTTTTAATCAATCTGGCTAGTGGTCTGTCTATTTTGTTGATCTTTTAAAAAAACCAGCTCTTGGATTTATTGATTTTTTGAAGGGTTTTTCGTGTCTCAATCTCCTTCAGCTCAGCTCTGATCTTAGTTATTTCTTGTCTTCTGCTGGGTTTTGAGTTTTTTTGATCTTGCTCCTCTAGCTCTTTCAATTTTGACGATAGGGTGTCAATTTTGGATCTCTCCATTCTCCTCATATGGGCACTTATTGCTATATACTTTCCTCTAGAGACTGCTTTAAATGTGTCCCAGAGGTTCTGGCACGTTGTGTCTTCGTTCTCATTGGTTTCGAAGAACTTCTTTATTTCTGCCTTCATTTCGTTGTTTACCCAGTCAACATTCAAGAGCCAGTTGTTCAGTTTCCATGAAGCTGTGCGGTTCTGGGTCGGTTTCTGAATTCTGAGTTCTAACTTGATTGCACTATGGTCTGAGAGGCTGTTTGTTATGATTTCAGTTGTTTTGCATTTGTTGAGCAGTGCTTTACTTCCAATTATGTGGTCAGTTTTAGAGTAGGTGTGATGTGGTGCTGAGAAGAATGTGTATTCTGTGGATTTGGGGTGGAGAGCTCTGTAAATGTCTATCAGGTTTGCTTGCTCCAGGTCTGAGTTCAAGCCCTGGATATCCTTGTTGATTTTCTGTTTGGTTGATCTGTCTAGTATTGACAGTGGAGTGTTAAAGTCTCCCACCATTATTGTGTGGGAGTCTAAGTCCTTTTGTAAGTCATTAAGAAATTGCCTTATGTATCTGGGTGCTCCTGCATTGTGTCCATATATGTTTAGGATCGTTAGCTCTTCTTGTTTTATTGATCCTTTTACCATTATGTAATGGCCTTCTTTGTCTCTTTTGATCTTTGTTGCTTTAAAGTCTATTTTATCAGAGATGAGAATTGCAACTCCTGCTTTTTTTTGCTTTCCATTAGCTTGGTAAATCTTCCACCATCCCTTTATTTTGAGCCTTTGTGTATCCTTGCATGTGAGATGGGTTTCCTGGATACAGCACACTGATGGGTTTTGGATTTTTATCCAATTTGCCAGTCTGTGTCTTTTGATTGGTGCATTTAGTCAATTTACATTTAGGGTTAATATTGTTATGTGTGAATTTGATACTGCCATTTTGATGCTAAGTGGCTGTTTTGCCTGTTAGTTGTTGTAGATTCTTCATTATGTTGATGCTCTTTAGCAATCAGTGTGATTTTGGAATGGCTGGTACTGGTTGATCCTTTCTATGTGTAGTGCCTCTTTTAGGAGCTCTTGTAAAGCAGGCCTGGTGGTGACAAAATGTCTGAGTACTTGCTTGTTCGCAAAGGATTTTATTTTTCCTTCACTTCTGAAGCTCAGTTTGGCTGGATATGAAATTCTGGGTTGAAAGTTCTTTTCTTTAAGAACGTTGAATATTGGCCCCCACTCTCTTCTGGCTTGTAGTGTTTCTGCCGAGAGATCTGCTGTTAGTCTGATGGGCTTCCCTTTGTGGGTGACCCGACCTTTCTCTCTGGCTGCCCTTAGTATTCTCTCCTTTATTTCAACCCTGGTAAATCTGACGATTATGTGCCTTGGGGTTGCTCTTCTTGCGGAATATCTTTGTGATGTTCTCTGTATTTCCTGCATTTGAGTGTTGGCCTGTCTTGCTAGGTGGGGGAAATTTTCCTGGATGATGTCCTGAAGAGTATTTTCCAGCTTGGATTCATTCTCTTCGTCCCCTTCTGGTACACCTATCAAACGTAGGTTAGGTCTTTTCACATAGTCCCACATTTCTTGGAGACTTTGTTCATTCCTTTTTGCTCTTTTTTCTCTAATCTTGGTTTCTCGTTTCATTTCATTGAGTTGGTCTTCGACTTCAGATATTCTTTCTTCTGCTTGGTCAATTCGGCTATTGAAACTTGCGTTTGCTTCGCGAAGTTCTCGTATTGTGTTTTTCAGCTCCTTTAATTCATTCATATTCCTCTCTAAGGTATCCATTCTTGTTATCATTTCCTCGAATCTTTTTTCAAATCTTTTTTCAAGGTTCTTAGTTTCTTTGCATTGATTTAATACATGATCTTTTAGCTCACAAAAGTTTCTCATTATCCATCTTCTGAAGTCTAATTCCGTCATTTCGTCCCAGTCATTCTCCGTCCAGCTTTGTTCCCTTGCTGGTGAGGAGTTTTGGTCCTTTCTAGGAGGCGAGGTGTTCTGGTTTCAGGTGTTTTTCTTTTTTTTGCGCTGGTTTCTTCCCATCTTTGTGGATTTGTCCGCTGGTCGTCTGCGTAGTTGCTGACTTTTCGATTGTGTCTCTGAGTGGACACCCAGAATGTTGATGATGAAGTATGTCTGTTACTTGGTTTTCCTTCTACCAGTCTAGCCCCTTCGCTGTACGACTGCTGAGGTCCGCTCCAGACCCTGCTTGTCTGGGGTGCACCTCTAGCAGCTGTGGCACAGCGAGGGATGCTACCAGTTTCTTTTTCTGCTGTCTTTGTCCCAGGATGATGCCTTCCTAATGTCAGTCTTTTGGATATAGAGGGGTCAGGTAGCTGCTTGAGGAGACAGTTTGTACTTTATATGGGCTTAATTGCTGAGCTGTGAGCTCTGTTGTTCATTCAGGGCTGTTAGGCTGCTATGTTTGATTCTGCTGCAACAGAGCTCATTAAAAAACCCTTTTTTTTTCCTCAAATGCTCTGTGTTGAGGGGTTTGGGCTTTATTTTTGGATGTTTGGTGAGGTGTCCTGCCCAGCTAGAAGGCAGACTAGCCACTGTTTGGCTGCCGAGGCTCTGCCCTGCTGTTGTGTGATTCGCCCTGTTCCTGCAGGCTCTGCTGTGCTCTCCGCCACGCCCTGCGGCGGAGTCTTTTCGTTGTAGCGTGTTGCCTCGGCAACGGCTGGCTGCGTCAGCAGTGGGCGTGTATCTTAGTTGGGGCGGGTTGCCTCCGTAGTGGTGGACGCCCCTCCCCCACAGAGCGTCTTGGACCGTCTGCTCGGGATAGTTTGAAATCGCGGTTTTGTTCGTCCCACTGGGTATCCCAAACGATCTGATCCTGCAATCCCCTGGGCTGGCCTACTGTCCAAGTCTCGTTCAGTCTCAAGTCCAGCCCTCTCAAGTCTCAGGTTGCCGGTTCAACAGGGCACCCGGACAAGCGCGCCCTGTGGGGATTGCTGGGTAGGGCCGGCCACCGCCGCCCCGGCTGCCGGCTTCGCCAGGCAGATGTACTGCCTGGTGTCCCGTGTCTTTTTTATACTTGGGAGTTTCCCCGTTCTGTGGGCAACAACGATCAGTCTGGAAATGCAGCTCGGACTCACCGTTTGCGGATTCAACACGAGCTCCAATCCTGGGTTGTTCTCACAGCGCCATCTTGAGTCCTCCCCCCAATAGCAGTTTCTTAATAAACAATTCCAGTTAACCAAGGGAACTCTATTTAGTAGGATTTTAGGTTATTAAGATTTTATTATAAGATCGTTTAACCATTAACCTGTTGAAGGACTTCTGGACTGTTTATAGTTTTTTAGTATTAAAAATAAAGCTGCTGTTAAAATTTTTGTATAGATTTTTTGTGTGGATGTTATTTTTCATTTCTCTGATAAGTGTCCAATAGTGCAGTTTCCTGGGTTGTATGGCAGTTACATGCTAGATCCATAAAGAAATGTGCCGGACTTTTCCAAAGTTGTTGTACCATTTTACATATCTACTAATGAAGTGTGAGCAATTTAGTTTCTCTATATCTTTGCTAGCATTTGGTGTTGTGACTGTTTTTTATTTTAGTCATTCTGTTAGATGTGTTGTAATAGTGATATTGGTTTTGATTTGCACTTGCCTAGGGGTTTATGGTGTTGAACATCTTTTCATGTGCCAGTTTTCCATCTGGGTATCCTCTTCAGTGAAATGTCTGTTCATGTCTCATTTTCAAAATAGATTTTTTTTACTGTTGAGTTTTGAAAGTGCTTTATATATTCTAGCTACTAGTCCTTTGTCAGTATCTAGAATAAGCTACTTTGTAGCTTGTCTTTATATCCTCTTCTCATTGTCTTTCACAGAAGAAAAGTTAATTTTGAAGAGGTTCAATTTATTAATTTTTTTATGGACTGTGTTTTTAGAAAGTCTGAGTACAATTCACCTAACCCTATATCCTGAAGATTTTCTCCTGTGCTGTTTCCTAAAAGTTTTACAGTGTTAATGTTTTATGTTGAAGTCCGTGATCCATTTTGAGTTATATTTTTTGTGTGATACAAGGTATGGATCAAAGTTAATATTTTTACATATGGGTATTTGATCCTTTGAGAATCTTTTCTTTTTTTTTTTTAAAGACAGTCTTGTTCTATCACCCAGGCTGGTGTGCAGTGATGTGATCTTGGCTCACTGCAAACTCCACCTCCCTAGTTCAAGTGATTCTTATGTCTCAGTCTCCTAAGTAGATGGGATTTCAGGCATGCCACTGTGCCTGGCTAATTTTTGTATTTTTAGTAGAGATGGGTTTTTACCATGTTGGCTAGGCAAGTCTTGAACTCCCATCCTCAGGTGATCTGCCCGCCTTGGCAGATAGCTTTAGTAAAGCTAGGATTACAGGTGTGAGCCACTGTGCCCAGTCTGAGAACCATTTCTTGAAAAGATTAGTTGTTCTTCTTTGCACCTTTGTAAAACAATTAATTTACCATATATGTCCAGGAGGGAGCACTTCTGGAATTTATTATGTTCAATTTAGGTGTTTGTCTGCCTTTGTGCCAATTTAGTACAGTCTTTATTACTGTTGCTTCTTAGTAAGTCTGGAAGCAATCATTGTAAGCCTTCCAGCTTTCCTTATTTTTTTTTCAAAGTTGTTATGGCTATTCTAGGTCTCCTGAATTTTCATACGAATTTTCGAATCAGTCTGTCAGTTTCTACAAATAATCTTCTCAGATTTTAGTGGGGAATACTTTGAGTCTGTAGATTCATTTGAGAGAGAATCGACATCTTTATTAATATAGAGTCTTAAAATCTGCATAAAATATTCCTCTCCCAATTATTTAGATCTTACTTAATTTTGCTTGGCAGTGTTTTATAGTTTTCAGTGTATGGGCCTTACTTACTTTTTGTTAGATTTTTCCACTACGTTTTATTTTTTATTGCTATTGTAAAAGGTATTTTTAAAATTTTAATTTCTGATTATTTCTGCTACATAGAAATACTGTAGGTTTCTGCATATTTATATCTTGCAACCTAACCTCACTTACTTGTTTTCATAGCTTTTTATTTGTGGATTCTATTAGATCTCCTACCTAGACAATTATTATCCTTGAATAAAGGCAATTTTTACTTTTTTTCCAACTTGAATACCATTTATTTCCTTTTCTTATTTTATTGCACTGCCTAGAATCTTTAGTAAAATAGAAGTGGTGAAAGTGGACTTTCTTGTTTTGTTCCTGATGCTAAGGGCAAAAAAGTTCAGGTTTCATCTTTATATAAAAGTATTATAGATACCTTTTATCAAGTTGAGGAAATTTCCTTTGTGGCTAGTTTCCTGAAAATATTCATCAGAAATGGATGTTGAAGTTTATCAAATGCTTTCTGCATCCTTTGAGATGATCATATAGTTTTAAAATTATTTAACATATTGAACTACATTGATTTTCACATATTAAACTTTGCATTCCTGGGAGAAACTACACTTGGTTGTGATATATTTTTTTTTCTATATTTTTTCTATTTGATTTGCTATAATTTTACATGTTTTTGTGAAGGTTGTTGAACTATAGGTTTCATTTTTTGTGATATTTTTGTCTGGTTTGATATTAGAATAATTTTAGGCTTATAAATTAAATAGTATTCTCCTCCTCTCTCTTTTCCCCACTGTCCCCCCCTCCCTCTTTAGCTTCCTGAGGAGTTTGTATAGAACTAACACTATTCCTTAATCGTTTGGTAGATTTCCTCAGTAAAGCTGTATGGGCCTTGAGTCTTTTTTTTTTTTTTCTTTCTGACAGATTATTTATTTAATAGATATTAGGCTATCTAGATTATCTTTTCCTTCTGGAGAAAGCTCATTTGTATCTTTCAAGAAGTTGGTGCACTTATTGCATAAAGTCATATATGATATTCCCATGTTATGATATCTGTAGAATCTGTAGTGGTGTTACTTGTCTCATTCCTGATATTGGTAGTTTTTCTCTTTTTCTTAATTAGCCTGGCTAGAGGGTTATTGAATTTAATCATGTTTTTCAAATAATCAGTTTTTATTTTCATTGACTTTTTTGTTGTCTTTTGGTTTTTTACCTCACTGAATTTAAAAAAATTTCTGTGGGTATATATTAATAGTAGGTGGATATATTTATGGGGTACATGAGATATTGTGATATGGGCATACAATGTGTAATAATCACATCAGGGTAAATGAGGTTTCCATCACCTCAAGCATTTGTCATTTCTTTATGTTACAAATATTCCAATTATACTCTTAGTTATTTTAAAATGTGCAATAAATTATAAATTATTGTTGACTGTAATCATCCTGTTGTATTATCAAATACTAGATCTTATTCATTCTGTCTAACTATATATTTGTACCCATTAACCGTCCCAATTTCGTGGCCCTCCCCCCCAACACACTACTCTTCCCAGTTTCTGGTAATCATCATTCTACTCTCTATCTCCATGAGTTAAATTGTTTTAATTTTTAGCTCCCACAAATGAGTCAGAATGTGAGAAGTTTGTCTTTCTGTGTCTGGCTTATTTCACCTAACATCCTCCAGTTCCATCCATGTTGTTGCAGATGACAGGACCTCATTCATTTTTATTGCTGAATAGTACTCCATTGTGTATTTGTACCACGTTGTCTTTATCCATTCCCCTGTTGATGGACACTTAGGTGACTTCCAAATGTTGGCTATTGTGAATAGTGCTGCAGTAAACATAGCCTTGCAGGTATCTCTTGAGTATAATTATTTCCTTTCTTTTGGGTATTTATCTAGCAGGGGATTGCTGGATCATATGGTAGTTCTATTTGTAGGTTTTTTGAAGAACCTCCGTACTGTTCTTCATGGTGGCTACACTAATTCGCATTCCCACCAATAGAGTCCAAGGGTTCCCTTTTCTCCACATCCATCCAGCATTTATTATCGTCTGTCTTTTGCTTCAAAGCCATTTTAACTGGAGTGAGATGATATCTCGTTGTAGTTTTAATTTGCATTTCTCTGAAAATTAGGGATGCTGAGAGCTTTTTCATATACCTGTTTGCCATCCGTATGTCTTTTTTGGAGAAATGTCTAATTAGATCTTTTGTCCATTTTAAAATCAAATTATTATATTTTTTCCTATATAATAGTTTGAGCTTATTATATATTCTGGTTATTAATCCCTTGTCAGATGGATAGTTTGTAAATATCTTATCTCATTCTATGGGTTGCCTCTTCATTTGTTGGTTGCTTCCTTTGCTGTGCCAAAGGTTTATAACTTGATGTGATCCCATTTGTTCATTTTTGCTTTGGTTGCCTGTGTTTGTGGGGTACTACTTAAGAAATTTTTGCCTGGACTAACTCTGAAGTTTTCCCAGTGTTTTCTTTTAGTAGATTCATAATTTGAGGTTCTATATTTAAGCCTTTATTTTGACTTGAATTTTGTATATGGTGAGAGATAGGGGTCTAGTTTCATTCTTCTGCATATGCACGTCCAGTTTTCCCAGTACCATTTATTGGACATACTGTTCTTTACCCAATGTATGCTTTTCACCTTTGTCAAAAATGACTTCACTGTAGATGGATGGATTTATTTCTGAGTTTTCTATTCTATTTGTCTATGTGTCTATTTTTATGACAGTACCCTGTTGTTTTGGTTATTATAGCTCTGTATTATAATTTGTTTTTGTTTTGGTAAGGTGTTTTAGAAGATCTGTAGTATAAGTTAAAGTCAGGTTTTGTTCTTTTTGCTTAGGGTTGCCTGAGCTATTCTGGGTCTCTTGTGGTTTCATGTAAATTTTCACATTGTCTATGTGTGTATTTTTATACTGGTACCCTACTTTTTTGTTTACTATAGCTCTGTACTATAATTTGTTTTTGTTTTGGTAGGCTGTTTTAGAAGGTCTGTAGTATAATTTGAAGTCAGATTTTTTTCTTTTTGCTTAGGGTTGCCTGAGCTATTCTGGGTCTCTTGTGGTTTCATGTACATTTCAGGATTTCTGTGAAGAATGTCATCAGTTTTTTTTTTTTTTTTTTAGATGGAGTCTTGCTTTGTTGCCAGGTAGGAGTGCAGTGACACAATCTTGACTCACTACAACCTCCGCCTCCCAGGTTTAAGCGGTTCTTCTGCCTCAGCCTGCAGAGAAGCTGGGACTACAGGCACATGGCACAACACCCAGCTAATTTTTGTACTTAGTAGAGATGGGGTTTTACCATGTTGGCCAGGATGGTCTCAATCTCTGGACCTTGTGATCTGCCTGCCTCAGCCTCCTGAATGCTGGGATTATGGGCATGAGCCACTACACCTGGCCGTCATTGATATTTTAATAGGGATTGCATTGAATCTGTAGATTGATTTGGGTAGAATGGACATTTTAACAATATTGATTCTGACAGGTGGAGAGGTCAGGTTGGCTAAAGCTTTGACCTCCAGCATTGAGAAATGGCATTGGGGGAAGGATGGAGGGACTGAGAAAATGAAAAACTAACTGTGAGACCTGGAAGTTGATTTGAGAGTCATATATATTTAAAGCAAAATTTATTAAAAATTTAAGGGGTTTCTTGGATGTCACTCAAAGTATTGAAGATGACTCACCTCTTGATGCCCAGCTTCTCTCATGTTACTCACCAAAAGCTCATTTTAGACCCCGATTCTATCTTTTTTCTACAGTGATCATAGCAAATCTTCTCTTGTTTATTTATGTTGTGTTATTTTTGGCATTTTTAACAGATATAGTTTGTTCTTACCCTAATCTAAATGAGGACAGGTGCCCAGGAAACTACACAAACTCTCAAAGTTCAAATGGTCATAATCCTTGGGAAAGTTATTTTTTGTTTTTTCCATGTACATCTTAAATGCTACATCCAGTATCACCATAGCAAAGTCAGAAACTGAGGCTATAACTTGATCCATCTACTGATGGATAAACCATCTCAGGTGGCATTAATGGTACACTTCACTGGCAACATACTTATTCTCTTCATACTGTGTTGCAGCATTTCTTCCTGCGGCCCAGCAGATTATATCTTTATCTCCTTCTGGCCACCCTGGAACTGATCTGTTCTCTGGTGTGTCTACTCATTTACACAGTGAAAATCTGGAAACTTAATAAAGCTAAACCATATCCTGATGTACTTGAAGGAAAAGTCTATACTTAACCCAACAATGTTACCTTGCAGACTGGGTTCATAACTATTTGAAACATACAAGAAATTGTTGAAAAGCAAGAAGACATAATAATATATATGAAGTGACACAGTTGGCTTTCACTTCCTTGGACCTAGTCTGTTAGCCAAGTAGAATGTGAGAGGCTCATCATCTTGACAGCAATTGCAGAGGAATCCAAAGTAATCTCACAAGCTGCCATAGAGAATTGCAACTTTTGCTGAATATTTTATAATTTTTGCTGGAAACCTGAATTTGGTTCTTACCTGTGTGGCTATGTACCATATAGGATTTGGTGCTAAAGGTACTTTGTAGAAGCCTTGATAACTTGAAGATAATGTCTATTGTGTACTTTCTGAAATTATTTAACTACTTGGTTTATCTTAGGATCAAAGGTACAATTTAAACAACAGCAACAAAAATCCAGTATTGAATCTTCTAATCCATGATCTGGAATACATGTTTGTTTTTTTGTGTGTCTTCTTCAGTTTCACTGTAGAGATCTTTTATTTTATTTTATTATTTATTGCATTTTAGGTTTTGGGGTACATGTGAAGAATATGCAAGATAGTTGCAAAGGTACACATGTGGCAGTGTGATTTGCTGCCTTCCTCCCTTTCACCTATATCTGGCATTTCTCCCCATGCTCTCTCTCCCCATCTCCCCACCCCCCACTGTCCCTCCCCTATTCCCCCCGACAAACCCCAGTGTGTAGTGCTCCCCTTCCTGTGTCCATGTGTTCTCATTGTTCAACACCTGCCTATAAGTGAGAACATGCGGTATTTCATTTTCTGTTCTTGTGTCAGTTTGCTGAGAAGTTTATGTATCTCATTGTATTTGTAGCTGTTGTAAATGAGATTACTTTCTTGATTTTTTTTTTCTCGTTTGCTCTTGACATGTAGAAATGCTGTTGATTTTTGTATATTGATTGTGTGTCCTACAGCCTTACTGAATTTGTTTATTCCTTTTGGTAGAGTCTTTAGTTTTTTCCAAACATAAGATCATATTACTTAAGACAATGAAACTTTGAGTTTTTCCTTTCCAAGTTGGATGTCCTTTATTTCTCTCTCTTGTCTGATTGCTCTAGGTAAAAATTCTTTGACTGTTACCATGCTGCATAACAGTAGTGACAGTGAGCATCCTTCCTTGTCTTCTTTCAGGTCTTCAAGGAAAGGCTTTCAGTTTTTACCCATTCAGTATGATACTAGCTGAGGGTATGTCATACAGTGTCATACATGACTTTTATTGTGTTGAGGTATGTTCCTTCTATACCCGGTTTCTTGGGAGTTTCTGTCATAAAGGGATGTTGGATTTTATTAGACTCTTTTTCAGTATCAGTAGAAGTGATTATTTGGTTTTTGTCCTTCATTCTGTTGACATGATGTATCACATTGATTTGTATATGTTGAACCATCATTGCATCCTTGGGATGAATCCCGCTTGTTCATGATGAATGATATTTTTAATGTGTTGTTTAATTTGATTTGCTGGTATTTTGTTGAGGATTTTTGCATCAGTGTTCATCAGGATATTGTCTTCCTTTTGTTTGATGTGTCTGTCTGGTTTTGGTATCAGGGTAATATTAGCTGTGTAAAATGAGTTTGGAAGTATTCCCTCCTCCTCTGTTTGTCAGAATAGTTCATGTAGGATTGGTTATTAGTTCTTCTTTGAATGTTTGATAGAGTTCAGCAGTGAAACCATTGGGTCCTGTACTTGACTGTACTCGGATACTTTCTATTACAGCATCAGTTCCATTTCTTATTATTGGTCTATTTTGGATTTCTTTGTGGTTTAATCTTGGTAGATTGAATGTGTCTAGGAAATTATCCATTTCATCTAGCTCTTCCAATTTATTGGCATATAATTTCTCATAGTCACCTCTAGTGATTGTTTGAAGTTCTGCAGTTTTGGTTGTAATGTCTCCTTTTTCATCTCTGATTTTATTTATTTGGGTCGTCTTTCTTTCTTCATATGGATCTTTTTAAAAAAAAACCCAGCATTTTGTTTTGTTGATATTTTGTATTTTTTGTTTCAGTTTCATTTATTTCTCCTCTGATCTTGCTTTGCTAGTTTTTAAAGCTGCATCATTATGTTGTTTATTTGAAGTTTTCTGCTTTTGTAATATAGGGGCTTATTGCTATAAACTTTCCTCTTAGTACTAATTTTGCCTTATCCTATAGGTTTTGGTATGCTCTGTTTTTATTTTTGTTTCAAGACATTTTAAAATTTCCTTTTAAATTTCTTCATTGACCCTTTGGCTGTTCAGGAGAGAATTTTTTTTTTTTGAGAATCCTAATTAGGTGTTAAGTAATAAAGCATCTTGACAAGTACAGAATAGTATTAAAATATTTTGTATAAATGCTTTTATTTAACTTATGAGTTGACTAACGACCTGTGGGATATTGGATAATATATTCTTAGAAATACAGTGCTCTTTTTCTGGCCCTTTTCTTTTTTTTTAATGGATAGGAGGTTTCAGTGGGACGGGAGAATCACAAGGAATCAGATGTTCAGAGGAATGTATTGAGTAGAGGTGAGGAACTAGGATGTTGAAAAGTAAAAAAAGGAGAGAAGGAGAGGAAGAAAGAGGAAGAAAAAGAGGGAGAGAGAATAGGAATATTGCTTCATTCTAAAAAATGGGTATTAATAATGGCCGATCAATATTTTGTGTATTTAAAATGGAGAACTCTATAAATATTTATTGAGTTTACTTGTTCTGGATCTGAGTTGAAGTCCTGGATATCCTTGTTAATTTTCTGTCTCGTTGAGTCTAAATCTCGTTATGGGTCTTATGTATCTGGGTATTAAGATCTCTTATTGTTGCATTGATCCTTTTACCACTGTATCTTTGTTGCTTTGAAATCTATTTTATCAAATGTGAGAATTGCAACTCTGGCTTTTTGTTTATTTATTTATTTTTGATCTCCATTTGGTTGGTAAATTTTTTTCCAACCCTTTGTTTTGAGTCTTTGTGTATCTTTGGATATACCGTTCGGTTTTGGCTATATCTTTTGATTGGGGGATTTAGTCGATTTAAATTTAGGGTTACTGCCATTTGATGTTAACTGGCTATTTTATCCATTGGTTGATGTAAATTCTTCTTTATGTTGATGCTCTTTACTTTTGGTATATTTTTAGAAAGGCTCATACTGGTTGTTCCTTTCTATGTATAATGCTTCTTTCAGAAGTTCTTGTAAAGCAGGCCTGGTGGTAATAAAATCTCTGAGTACTTGCTTGTTCATAAAAGATTTTATTTTTCCTTCAATTGTGAAGCTTAGTTTGGCAGGATATGAGATTCTAGGCTGAAAGTTCTGTTCTTTAAGTATATTGAATATTGGCCCCCACTCTCTTCTGGCTTGTAGGGTTTCCGCTGAGAGATCTGTAAGTCTAATAGGCTTACAGGAGAGAATATTATTTAATTTCCACATTTGTATAGTACCCATTGTTCTTCTTGTTATTGATTTCTAGTTTTATTCCATCGTGGCCAGAGAAGATACTTGATGTGAATTCAATTTTTTGAATTTTTAAGAGTTGTTTTGTGAGCGAACATATGGTCTATCCTTGAGAATGATCCATGTGCTGAGGAGAAGAATGTGTATTCTGCAGCTGTTGGATGAAATGTTTTGCAGATATCTGTTAGGTTTGTTTTGGTCTATAGTTCAGAATAAGTCCAATGTTTCTTTTTTACTTTTCTGTCTGGATAATCTTTCTAATGCTGAAAGTGGGGTGTTGAAATCTCCAGCTATTAGCCTGGGTTTTATCTTTCTCTTTAGCTCTAATAATATTTGCTTTATATACTTAGGTGTTACAGTGTTGGGTGCATATGTATTTACAATTGTTATATCACCTTTCTGAGTTGACCCTTTATCATTATAAAATGACCTTGTCTTTATAGTTTTTCTCTTGAAATCTATTTTGTCTCATACGAGCTACTCCTTCTGTTTGTTGATTTCCATTTGCATGCAGTATCTTCTTTTATCTCATTATTTTCAGTCGTTGTTGTATGTCATTATGGTGAAGTGTTTCTTTTAGGCAATAGATCATTGGGTGTTGCTTTTTTATCCATTTAGCTGCTCTTTGTCTTTTTGATTGGAGAGTTTAATTTATTTACATTTAGTGTTATTATTGATATGTAAAGACTTAGAACTACCATTGTGTTATTTGTTTTCTGGTTGTTTTATAGTCTTCTCTTCCTTTATTCCTTTTTTTTTTTTTTTTTTTGAGACAGAGTTTTGCACTGTGGCCTGGTCTGGAGTGCAGTGTCATGATCTTGGCTCACTGCAACCTCTGTGTCCTGGGTTCAAGTGATTCTCCTGCCTCATCCTCCCTAGTAGCTGGGATTACAGGTACCCACCAACATGCCCAGCTAATTTTTTTGAATTTTTAGTAGAGACAGAGTTTCGCCATGTTGGCCAGGCTGGTCTCAAATTCCTGACCTCGTAATTCACATGCCTCAGCCTCCCAAAGTGCTGGGATTAAGGCGTGAGCCACCATGCCCAGCTGCTTCTTGTCTTTTTGTGAAGGTGAATTTCTCTGGTGGCATATTTTAATTATTTGCTTTACTTTTTGTGTATCCTGTGTAGTTTTTTTGACTTGCTATTACCATGAGGCTTTTAAATAACATAAGCCATTATTTTAAACAGATGACAACTTAATACTAATTGTAAAAAGAAGCAAAGAGAAAACTAATAAAAACTCTATACTTTAACTTCATCCACTCCACTTTTTAATTTTGGTTATTTTTATCTTGCTGCATTGTCTATGTCTTGAAAAGATACAGTTATTTTTTGATAGGTTCATCTCTTGGCCTTTATACTCAAGATATGAGCAGTTTATACACCACAATTACAGTGTTACAATATTCTGTGTTTTTTTGTGTGCTTACTATTACCAGTGCACTTTTTACCTTCAGATGATTTCTAATTGCTCATTAACATCCTTTTCTTCCAGATTGAATAACTTCCTTCAGCATTTTTGTAGAACATGTCTGGTGTTGATGAAAGCCCTTAGTTTTTGTTTGTCTGGCAATGTCTTTATTTCTCCTTCACATGAAGGATATTTTCACTTGATATACTATTCTAGGATAAAAGTTTTTTCCTTCAGCATCTTAAATGTCATGTCACTCTCTTCTGGCTTATAAGGTTTCTACTGAGACACATGCTGCCAGATGTATTAGAGCTCCTTTATATGTTATTTCTTTTTTCTTGCTTCTTTTAGGATCATTTCTTTATCTTTGACATTCAGAAGTTTGGTAATTAAATGTCTTGAGGTAGTCTTATTTTGGTTAAATCTGTAATCTCTCTGTGCTTGAATATTGATGTTTTTGTCAAGGTTTGGAAAATTCTCTCTTATTATCCCTTTGAATCAACCGTCTACCCCATCTCTCACTCTGCCTCCTTGTTAGGCCAATGACTATTAGATTTGCCCTTTTAGGACTATTTTCTAGATTTTGCAGGCATACTTTATTCTTTTTTTTTTTTTTTTTTTTTTTAGACAGAGTTTTGCTCTTGTTACCCAGGCTGGAGTGCAAGGGCACGATCTCGGCTCACTGCAACCTCTGCCTTCTGGGTCAGGCAATTCTCCTGCCTTAGCCTCCTAAGTAGCTGGGATTACAGGCACGTGCCACCATGCCCAGCTAATTTTTTGTATTTTTAGTAGAGATGGGGTTTCACCATGTTGACCAGGATGGTCTCGATCTCTTGACCTCGTGATCCACCCGCCTTGGCCTCCCAAAGTGCTGGGATTACAGGTGTGAGCCACCGCGCCCGGCCCCTATTCTTTTTTATCCTTTTATTCTTTCGTCTCTTCTGACTGTATTTTGAAATAGCCTGTCTTCAGGTTTATGAATCATTTCATCTCCTTGATCAGTTCTGCTGTTGAGAGACTCTGATGCATTCTTCAGTGTGTTATTTGAATTTTTCAGGTTCAATATTTCTGCTTGATTTTTAAGTTATTTCAATCTCTTGTTAAATTTATCTGATAGAATTCTGAATTCCCTTTCAGTGTCATCTTGAAATTTGTTGAGATTCTTAAAAACAGCTGTTTAGAATTATATGCCTAAAAGGTCACATATCTCTGTCACTCTGGGATTGATCATTTGTGCCTTACTTAGTTCATTTGGAAAGGTCATGTTTTCTTGGATGGTCTTGATGCTTGTGGATGTTTGTTGATGCCTGGGCATTGAAGAGTTAGGTATTTATTATGGTCTTTGCTGTCTAGGCTTGTTTGTCCTCATCCTTCTTGGGAAGGCTTTCCAGGTATTCAGAGGAATTGAGTGTCCTGATCTAAGTTTTTGTTCACTGTAGCTGCACTGCATTAGGGGGCACCACGACCCAGTAACACTGACTCTTAAAGACTGGTGGAGGTACTGCTTTGGTGGTTTTGGGTGAGATCTGAGAGAATTCTTGGATTACCAGGCAGAGACTCTTGTTCTCTTTCCTTACTTTCCTCCAAACCAACGGAGTCTCTCTCTCCGTGCAGAGCTGCATGCAGCTGAGGGAGGGGTGAAAGAAGCATGCCTGTGACCACCACCACTGGGACTGCGCTGGATTAGACCTTAAACCAGCATAGCGCTAAGTCTTACCCAGGACCTGTGGCGACCACTGTCTGGCTGCCACTGATGTTCACTCAAGGCCCAAGAGCTCTTCAGTCAGCAGGTAGTGAATCCAGCCTGGCTTGTATCCTTCTTTCATGACAGCAAGCTCCCCACTGCCCAAGGTGGGCCCAAGAACCAGGACCTGGAGTCAGGAAACTTAGGAATCTACTTAATGTTCTGTTCTGCTGTGGCTTAGCTGGCATCCAAGCTGCAGGACATGGTTCTTCCCATTCTTCCCTCTCCTTTCTTCATGACCACCACTTTCCAAGGCCTGTGGTGAGTACTGCGTCGCTACTGCTGATGTTCACTCAAGGCCTGAGGGCTCTTCAGTGAGTTTGTAGTCAATGTTGCCAGGCCTGGGTCTCTCCCTTCAGGGTGTTGGGCTCCTCTTTTGCCCAGAGTAGATCCAGAAATGCCATCAAGGAGCCAAGACTTGGAATCTGGGATCCTAGGAGCCTGGTTAGTGCTCCATCTTATGATGGCTTAGCTGTGGCCACCAAGCTGTGAGACAAAGTCCCCATTATTCTTCCCTTTCCTTTCCTCAAGCAGAAAGTGATATGGTTTGAATATTTGTCCCACCCAAATCTCATGTTGAGATGTTGTAATCACCAGTGTTGGAAGTGGGGCCTGATGGGAGAGGTATGTGGGTCATGGGGGTGGATTCCTCATGGTTTCCTGTTGTTCTTAAGATAGTGAGCGAGTTCTCATGAGATCTGATCATTTAAAAGTGTGTGGCACCTCCCTTTGCTCCTTGCTCCTCTCGTTATATGGCCTGCAAGCACCTGCTTCATCTTCTGTCTTAAGTAGAAGCTCCTTGAGGCTTCCCCGGAAGCCAAGCACATGCATGTTGGTACAGCTTGCAGAACAGTGAACCAATTAAACTTCTTTTCTTTTTTAAGACAGTCTCTCTCTGTCCTCCGGCTGGAGTGCAGTGACGTGATCTCAGTTCACTGCCACCTCCACCTCCGAGGTTCGAGCAAGTCTTCTGCCTCAACCTTCAGAGGAGCTGTTATTACAGGTACGTTCCATCATGCCTGGCTAATTTTTGTGTTTTTAGTAGAGACGGAGTTTCACCATGTTGGCTAGGCTTGTCTCGAACTCCTAGCCTCAAGTGATCCACCCACCTTGGCCTCCCAAATTGCTGGGATTACAGGCATGAGCCACCGCACCCAGCCTAAACTCCTTTTCTTTGTAAATTACCCAGCCTCGGGTATTTATTTATAGTAACACAAGAACGACCTAATACAGAAGGAATCTGTCCCCATAGCCACCACAGCTGTGAACATGGTGGGTCATGCTTGAAGCCTGCATGGCACTGGTTCTTACCCAAGGCCTGCAGCAAGTTCTGCTTGGCTACTGGAAAGTACTGGCAAGTATTACCTGCTGATGTTTATTCAAGGCCCAAGGGCTCTTTAGTCAGCAGGTAATGGATCCTGCCAGAACTGTGTCCTTCCCTTCAAAGCAGTGGGTTCCCTTCTAGCCCAGGGTATGTCTAGAATTGTCATCTGGGAGCTAGGTCCTAGAATGGGGGCTTCAGGATGCTGCCTGTGCTTCATTCTCTTGTGGAAGAACTGGTATCCCAGTTGCAAAATGAAGTCCTCTTTACCCTTCCCTCTTCTCTCCTCAAGCAGAAGGAAGGAGTCTCTCCTAGAGCTGTGAGCTGTGCCACCTGGGATTGGGAGAGGGGTGACACAAGCACTCCCTTTCTTTCCCAGCTGGTGTCTCAGCTCAGTGCAACCTCTGCCTCCTAGGCTAAAAGAATTCTCCTACCTCAGCCTGCTGAGTAGCCGGGACTACAGGCACACATCACCATGCCTGGCTAATTTTTTTGTAGAGACAGGTTTGCCATATTGCCTAGGCTGGTCTTGAACTCCTGAGTTCAAGTGATCCACCCACCTCTGGATCACAGGCATGAGCCCCCATGTCTGGCCTGGGGTCTTACTAGGTAATGAGTACCCAAGTCCACTGGCTCCAAGGTCAGCACAGCACCAGGACTTGCCTAGGAATTGCAGTCCTTGTGGCCAGGACTGCCTTTCAAGTTTATTTAGGACCCCAGAGTGCTTTAGCACACACTGGTGGTACTGGCCAGAACTCAGATTCTTACTACTGGGATAGATTATTTTCCTCTGGCTAGGGCTGTTATAAAAATTCCTTCCTTGGGCCCCAGCTGATTTCTGCCCTGTGTCGCTCTCCACCATGACTGGCAGGATTGAGTTTCAGCATAAAGTCCTACAATCACTGTGTTCTCCCTTCCCCAAGCAAACAGATTCTCTCTCCATGCCGTACAGCTGCTGCCCAGGGGATTGAGGAGTGTAGTGTAGGCAACTCAAAACTGTCTTTCCTGCCCTCTTCAGTGCCCTTGTTCTCAATATATTAAAACCAGATATTTTGGTTCTTATGAAGGTGTTTTCTTGTGTAGATAGTTGTTCGGTTTGGTGTTCCTGCAGGGAAGATGATTATTGGTTCTATTTGGTCATCTTGCTCTGCCTCCTCCTACTTCATTGATTATTTTCCTGACGTTTATTTCACCTTTGTTTTCAAAAGATGTTTTAGTATGGCAGAGAGTTCTGGGTTGACAGTATTTTACTTTCAGCACTTTTAAGATGTTCTGCTGTTTATGAGTTTCCATTGATTTTGTGAGAAATCTGTCATTATATGTTCCTTGGTCCATAATGCCTTTCTCCCAGCTTCTTTTAATATTTTTTTTGGTTTATCCTTAGTTTTAATGAATTTGATTATGAATTGTCTTTTGGTAGCTTTCTTTGTGTTTCTTCTTTTTGGGGGTTCCTTGAGGTTCTTAGTTCCATGGGTTTATAGTTTTCAGTGAATTTGGAAAAAATTCTGCAATTATTTTACTTTTTTCTGTCACCCCCTCTCTTAATTTGGGGATTCCAGTGAAACGTTAATTAGGTTGCTGAAATTGCTGCACAGCTCAGTGATACGCTTTTTTGAGAGGTCTGTTTTCTCTTTGTTTCATTTTAGATAGTTGCTATTGCTTTGTCTTCACATTCTTTAACAGTTTTTTCTTCTTTATTGTATCATCTCTTAATTCTATCAAATGTGGTTCTTATCTCAGTCATTATAGTTTGCATCTTATAGAAATTTGACTTGGGTCTTTTGTGTCCACACACATATACTCCATGCCTCTTCTTCACGTGTTCAACCTTTCTTTCTTCTTTTTTTTTGAGACAGATTTCAGGGTCATAGTGATCTCAGCTCACTATGACCTCTGCCTCCCAAGGTCAAGCCATTCTCCCACCTCAGCTTCCTGAGTAGCCTGGACTACAGGTGTGTACCACCACACCTGGTTAATTTTTGTATTTGTTATAGAGACAGGGGCCTTGTTGCTCAGGCTGGTCTTGAACTCCTGAGTACAAGCAGGTCACCTGCTTTGGCCTCCCAAAGTGCTAGGATTATAGGCATGAGCCACTGTGCCTGTCCACATAATCTTTCTTACAGCTTCTTGAACATATAAAAGTTAGTGATAATGGATTTTGTGCCTTGCCTGCTAATTCAGTCATCATTATAATTTTGGGGTTTGTTTCAATTGATTGACTTCTCTCCTTTTTATAGATTATATTTTCCTTTTTTTCATGACTAATTTTTTTTTTTTTTTGAGACAGACTCGCACTCTGTCACCAGGCTGGAGTGCAGTGACATGATCTTGGCTCACTACAGCCTCCACCTCCTAGGATCAAGCAATTCTCCTGCTGCAGCCTCCTGAGTAGCTGGGATTACAGTTGCCCACCACCACGCTCAGCTAATTTTTGTATTTTTAGTAGAGATGGGGGTTTCACCATTTTGGCTAGGCTGATCTTAAACTCCTGACCTCAAGTGATCCACCCACCTCGACCTCCCCAAAGTACTGGGATTACAGGTGTGAGTCACCACGCTCGGCCAGCATGTTTCAATTGAATGCTAGATATGGTGAATTTTGTTTACTGGTTCCTGATATTTTCATATTTTAATAAATATTTTAGACCTTTTTTCTTGGATGCAAGTTAAGTTACTTGGAAATAGCCTGTTTCAGATTTTGCTTTTAACTTTGTTAGGTGAGACTAGAGGAGTTTCTAAAATTAATTTTTTTCCCATTAGTGAGGCAGAAATTCTTCTGAATACCATATCTGATGATCCATTAATAATAAAGTTTTCAAGTTAGTTTCCTCTAATTGTTTTGGGTGAAGTTTTCCCTACCTTCCATAGTTTCCTCACACATGTGCACCAATCAGTACTCAACTGAATACTCAGTGATGATCTTTTGCATATATAAGTTTTCTCTCTGTGTATCTCTCTCCTCTTGTGTGCTGCCTTGTGAAATTCAGCCACGTTAGTCTTTGTGAACTCCTAGATACATTTCCTAGAGTTAGGGAGGCCACTGGGCTGCCCCTAGATTTATCTTCCCTTTGCTATGGCCTGGACCCTTTACCTGGACAGTGAGCCGAGTTCATTGTCGGGCTCTCACCTAGTTTGTTTTTCATCTCATGATTTCTGGTTTCTTCAGCAATGTGTTTTATATTTTGTTTGGGTTTAATGTTGCTTTAGATGATTGGGAAAATTTAGTATCCTTTATGTTCCTTTATGTTTTGGTTAGAAAACAACTCAATATAGTATTTTAGTAGAAAAAAGGCATGAAAAGAAAACTACTTTTAAAGTTCTTGCTTCTTTTTATTGAAACATATTTTTACTAGGCTCATTGAAGGGAACAGTTATACTTAAATTTATTTATAACATCTGTCCTTATGTAATTTTTAGAGCTACTAACAAAATACTGGAGAAAATGGCAACTATTGATGTTACTGGTACTCTTCTGTTCCAGTGAAAGCTTGATACTGCTAAGTGAGTGATACAAACAGGTTAATCCATTACTCCTCCTAAATCTCTGAAGTCTGAATCAACTGGTAGAGGAAATCTCCTGTGATGTGCTGTGCTCTTCATATATAAATTTGATGTTACTTTGCTGACTGCTAATATTACAGATGTTTTTCAAGTCAAATTAAAACATTTGATTATATTCTGCAGCAAGTTATTTAAATTTTCTGTGTTTCAAATAACATCTCATTTCATTTCATAGAATGGTGAAAACATCTGTTTACGTAATTACAGTTTGCTGTTGTCAAACTGATACAGAATTTGCCTTAGTCTTTGAGTTTATTCTTCCTGCTAAAATGCAAACAAGGCTAATAGATTTCACAGTTGTATTTGTTAAAAATCTTGATATAGCAGTTTTCGTTGTTATTGATATCAAAGACGTTAAGTGGGATTAGTCAGCTATATCCATTATTTGTGAACTTGAAAGATAAGAAAGTAGTTGGACTCTGCAGAGTATCGTTTTAGCTATCAGTTTCTGCTTCTCCTTTTATCAAGACTTTAAAAAATGCAACAGTTTTAATATAGAGAGACATTGATTATTTAAGTTAATTTTTCCACTTCAAACTGAAAGTTGTTATTAATTGAACAGGCAGGCATCCAAAGACAAACATCTAACTTGTTTGTTTCTGTGTTGCTCTGTTCGGATGTGTAGTTCATGATGAGAGACTCTTATCTGTTTTATTTCCCGGAGGATACCCAATATCTAGAAAGTTTTTGGCACATAGTAAGTATTAACCACATTTTTGATGACGAGTCAGTGAATAAGTGAATGAACAATTAAGCTTCTGAGTCTTTTCCTGTCTTGGAAATCTCATCAATCTTTCAAGGCTCAGTTCATGAAGTGGTTTTTGAATGAAAATTTCTTCAACTACTTCAGTTCATTATAATCTTTTTTTTTTTTTTTGAGACAGAGTCTTGCTCTGTTGCCCATAATGGAGTGAAGTGGTACAATCTTGGGTCACTGCAACTTCCACCTCCTGGGTTCAAGCAATTCTCCTGCCTCAGCCTCCCAAGTAGCTGGGATTACTGGCACCTGACACCATGCCTGGCTAATCTTTTGTATTTTTAGTAGAGACGGCATTTCATCATGTTGGCCAGGCTGGTCTCGAACTCCTGATCTCAGTAATCCACCTGCCTCCGCCTCCCAAAGTGTTGGGATTACAGGCATGAGCCGCTGCACCCAGCCCATTATGATCTTTTCTTTGAACTCTTGGTCTTTTCATGTAATTTTAAGATAAAATTTACCAACAAATACAGCTGCACACAATTGGACCAGACTGCAAGAAGGGCACATTCTATTACTGGAAGTGCTTAAGGAGTGGCAGGATGGCCTTGTCAATAAAAAGGAGGGAAGTGAGATACAGTGTTCTTAACTTTGTGCTAGGTACTTAATGTATTTGACTCCCTTTAATTTCAAAGGCCCGGACCCTACAAGGTAGATCAACTTTACTTATTTTTTTTTAGTGTGGAAACTGAGGTTTAGAGAGGCCTATAAAATTTGTCTACAGTTCCATAGCCATAAACATCTCATTGATAAACCAAGGTTGTTTTTTGTGGGAGAGCTGTTACACTGCCTTCAGTAGGTAACTACTTCATGAAATCAAAGTCCATTATGATTGTGTGAAGTATGACAGTTTGGCATTTCTACCAAGAAACGAAGGCTTGAAGTGGGCAGAATGACAGCACTTGGTGGTTAGGAAAAGAAAGTTTTGGATAATGGGATAATTAGAAACACCAAAAGGGACAGAGAGGTACTGAACTCCATCTTTCTGTTCATGTTTTGGCCTCATGGTATGTAAGGATTTTTGACAATGAAGTTGGTGGATCCTATTTTGATTTTTAAAAGAAACATTTATTGTTGGGGTTTATTGCTCTGGTTTTTCTTTTACATGATACAAGTGATATTATTTAAAAATGAAATTAAGGCTGGGCGCGGAGGCTCACGCCTGTAATCCCAGCGCTTTGGGAGGCCAAGGTGGGTGGATTGCGAGGTCAAGAGATCGAGACTATCCTGGTCAACATGGTGAAACCCCGTCTCAACTAAAAATACAAACAATTAGCTGGGCATGGTGGCACGTGCCTGTAATCCCAGCTACTCAGGAGGCTGAGAGGCAGGAGAATTGCCTGAACCCAGGAGGCGGAGGTCGTGGTGAGCCAAGATCACGCCATTGCACTCCAGCCTGGGTAACAAGAGCGAAACTCCGTCTCAAAAAAAAAAAAAAGAAATGAAAAAATCTTTTAAATATTAAGACAATCTCCAGAGGTTGATAGCCACGATGATTAATTAGAATCTATTATAAATTAAGAATCATTACTTATCAAGGGCTTACCTTGTGTCATATGCTGTGTTTTATGTACATTATCTCATTTAATATTTTCCACAACCATTATTGTCAAGTTTCTGTTTTCAGCACCATTTCACAAATAGGAAACTAAAAACTAGTAGAGTTACCAGTGGTTTGAAACTTTTTTTGTCTCTAGACACATTGAGAAAAAAACATTTTATGTGATAACTTAGTATGTACATACATGCATACATACATATAATTGAAATGTGTTTCTTGAATATTTATTTTACTATAATTTTGCACTGTTTTGTACTGTTAATGTTTACCCAAGAATAGATATGACATAGGAGTCATTATCTGCAGTTTGAAAAACTCTGCTCTTGACAGCTATATTATATTCGCTTCCTAATTTTGTACAGTAACAAGCCACTTTTGATTTCCATTCTCGTGCCTGCTTTATTGTAAATATTCTGTCAAAAGAAACAAAAAAACTAAGTCTTAACAGTAAAGATAAGTCCTTTCTCCCAACTAGATTTTTATCTTAAGTTAAAGCCAATCAACTAATTTCTTGTTTTTAGTGATGATTATGTTTATTAATAATGCATTGTTTTGAATTTGCCTTTTTTCATGGTTTCGTGTGGAAAAGACATACTATAGTCAACTGGCATATTTTTATCTGACTGCTCTGTGGATGATCTGGTAAACAATCGGGATCTGTTACATAGGTTAAAGAGGTAAAGTGGGTTCGTAATATTTTTATTTTTTTGGCAGATTTTCTCTCTACTTTTCTGTACATTTAAAATATTTTCATAATTAAAAAATTTTAATAATCGCATATAACCATTTGTATTTAATAAATGCCTTTAAACAAATGAAAAAATATATTAAACTTTTGTTGTACCACCAGATGGCGCCCTCTATTAATCCAAATTAAGACGCCCACACCATTTTCTGAATTATTTTGTGTTGCATGTATTGATAGATTTTTGGCGTGAATGGTCAAATAATGGGATCTAGAATTCACGAGTAAAAGAGGAAATAGAGTAAATGAGTTGCTAATGTACAGGCCCAGGGTATATGGAATAAACCAGTGTTTAATATAGTTTCTGGAATTTAATCATTAGTCAGAATAATGTTAGAGTAAAATTTAGGATTAGGAATACAGCTGTTTTGCATTTTTCCACGACTGTCTCTCTTTCCTTATATGGGGTTTTTCTTTGATCTTAACAATCGTTTTTGTTTATCCGCCACTTTTGACATAAATGGTTTCTTTGGTTACAAGTTTTTATACTGTCTATTAGAGTAACATTATTCCAATTTTGTTGTACTGGAATTTGAATTCATGAGATTTTTGTCATATTTTCATCACATAAGCATGGAACATATGAGCTTGATTTGTTTAACAAAATGAATAAACATCTCTGAATGTATTTGGCTATGTCCATTCTTTCTCTTTTCATAAATGTGATTTATTATTTCAGTAATAAAGGATGTTGATCTTAAATTGGTAATCCTAAATACAACTTTTATATTATCCTCATCAACTTTTCTTTTTGTTTAGCTAAAAGGAATGATAGGCAAAATTGATTGTGTTTAAAGTCAGTCCTGAAAGCTATTGAGAGCATGATCTATTAAGTAACATAACAGTAAAGGCCTTTTACTGTTGCCTTTGTGAAAAGAAAACTAAACACTTGTTTTCAATTTCAAGCTATTTTGACATTTAAAAAAGCTTTAAAATAGGCATCCGAAACCTAACACTGTTAACGTAACACATTTTAAAATTTATTTTTATTTATTTTTGAGATATAATCTCACTCTGTCATGTAGGCTAGAGTGCAGTGGCGTGATCTCGGCTCGCTGCAACCTCCGCCTCCTGGGTTTAAGTGATTCTTCTGCCTCAGCCTTGCCAGTGGCTGGGACTATAGGTGCGCACCACCACACTCTGCTAGCGTTCGTGTTTTTAGTAGAGACAGGGTTTTACCATGTTGGTCAGGCTGTAAAATTTAATTTTATTGGATGTATTTAAGCTGTACAATATGATATTTTGATATGCATATATAGTGAAATGATTTCTACAGTCAAACAAATTAAAATATCCATCACTTTCCACAGTCACCTTTTTGGTTTAGCACGATAGGAGTTCCTGAAGTCTACTTTTTCAGCAGATTTTCAGTATAATACAGTGTTAGTAACTATAGTCCTTACGCTGAACATTACATCTCTAGATTTAGCCATCCTACATAGCTATAAATTTGTACCCTTTGACCTTCTTCTCCCTGTTTGCTCTCCTTTTCTGCCCCTGGTAACCATCATTCTACTCTGTTTTTGTTTATTCTTTGTTTCTATTTACTTTTCCCCCTAGATTTCACATATATGTGAGATTGTACAATATTTTTCTTTGTATATCTGGCTTATTTTGCTAAGCATAATGTCTCCCAGATTCATCCCTGTTGTAAGTGATGGGTTCTCCCTTTTTCCCCCAAGGCTGAATATTTCATTGTATATATTGCACCAAATTTCTTTATTTCTTCATCTGTTGATGGACAAACACTTAGGTCATTTCCATCTTAACTATTGTGAAAAAATGCTGCAGTAAACATGGAAGTACAGATATCTCTTATGCAATGCTGATTTCATTTCCTTTAGGGAAATCAGGGGAATTACTAGGTTTGTGGTAGTTTGGTTTTTAAATTTTTGAAAAATTTGCATACTGTTTTCCATAATAACTGTACCAATTTACATTCCTACCAGTTGTATACAAGGGTTTCATTTTCTCTACACCTAACACTTGTTATCTCTTGTCTTCTTGATAATAGCCTTCTTAACAGGTGTGAAATGATATTACACAGTGATTTCGATTTGCATTTAATTGATGACTAATGATGTTGAGTACCTTTTGGTGTATATGTTGGCCATTTTTATGCCTTCTTTGGAAAAATGTCTATTCAGGTCCTTTGCCCATTTTTAAATAAGTGGTTTTTTGGTTTTGTTTTATGATAGTAAGTTTAAAGAAATTTTTAGATGTTAACTTCTTAACAAAGACATGGTTTCCAGATATTTTGTCCCAATCTGTAGGATGCCTTTTCATTTTGTTGATTGTTTCCTTTGCATTGCAGAAGCTTTTTAGTTTGATGTAGTCACACTTGTTTATTTTTGCTTTTGTGGCTTGAGCTTTGCTGTGATACCTAGAAAATCATTGTCAAGTCCAGTATGAAGGAGCTTTTCCCTATATTTTCTTCTAAGGAGGATTTTTTTCTTTGTGTGTGTGTGTGGTGTAAGATAAAGGCCCAGTTTCATTCTTTTGCGTTGGATATTTAGTTTTCCCAACCCCATTTATTGAAGAGACTGTACTCCCATTGTGTCTTCTTGGTGGGCTTGTCAGGAATTACTTGACCATATATGCTTGGATTTATTTCTCTCTTTCTATGCTATTTTATTAGCCTGTGTCTATTTTTATGCCCATATTATGTCTATGCCATATTGTTTTGATTGCTATAGCTTGATAATACTTTTTTGGGGCGGGGAGACAGGCTTTTGCTCTGTCACCCATAGTGGAATGCATTAATACGATCACTGCTCATTGTAGCCTTGTCATTCCAGCTCTGGTGACCCTCCCACCTGAGCCTGGGACTACAGGTATGTGCCACCATGCCTGGCCAATTTTTAAATTTTTTTTGTAGAGACAGGTCTGTATTGCCTAGGCTGGTCTCAAGCTCCTGGGCACAAGTAATCTTCCTGCCTCAGTTTCCCAAAGTGTTGGGATTACAGGTATGAGCCACTGCACCCAGTGTATAATATGATTTGAAATCAAGAAGTGTGATGTCTCCAATCTTATTTTTCTTTCTTTAGATTGTTTTGGCTACTTGGGACTTTTTGTGGTTTCATACAAATTTTATAGTTTTTTTTCTATTTCTGAGAAAAATGTCATTGGAATTACATTGAATTTGTTTGTATATTTTAGATAGCATGGTCATTTTAACAAATAATTCTTCTAATTCATGAACACAGGTTATCTTTCCATGTATTTGTGTCTTCAATTTTTTTTATCAATGTTTTATAGTTTTCAGTATACTGATGTTTCATCCCCTAGTGAAGTTTATTCCTAACTTCAGTCATTCATCGCTTAACGATGGGGATACATTCTGAGAAATGTGTCATTGGGTGATTTCATCATTGTGGGAACCTCATAGAGTCTACTTACACAAACCAGCTGTCTTCACATCTATACCGTTGTAGTATAGCCTATTGCTCCTAGGTGACAAACCTGTTCAGCATATTACTGTACTGAATACTGTAGGCAGTTGTAGCACATAGTATTTATATATCAAAACAACTAAACATGGAAAAGGTGCAGTAAAAATCGCTACAAGAGATAAAAAACAGTACACATATATAGGGCACTTACCATGAATGGAGCTTGCAAGATTGGCACTTGCTCTGAATAAGTAATTGAGTGAATGTGACGGTGTAAGACGTTACTGTAGGTTTTGTAAACACTGTATACTTAGGCTACAATAAATCTATATTAAAAAACTTCTTGATTAATTTTAACTTACTGTAACTTTTTACTTAAAAACTTTAAATTTTGTTTACACTTCTTGACTCTTTTGTAATAACAAGAGTTAGATACAGACACATATAGCTATACAAAAAATTTTCTATATATTCTTACTATTAGCTTTTTTCTATTATTATTGCTTTTTTTACTTTTAAAACTTTTTTGTTCAAAAGTAGACACAAACACATATTAGCCTAGGCCTCCACAGGATCAGGATTCTCTTATCCCATGGAAGGTCTTCAAGGGCAGTAACATACATGGAGCTGTAATTTCCTATAATAATAATGCCATCTTCTGGAATATTTCCTGAAGGGCCCATCTGAGGCTATTTTACAGTTAACTTTTTTCAATAAGTAGAAGGGCTGGGGACGGTGACTCATACCGGTAATCGCAGCACTTAGGGAGGCTGAGGTGGGCGGATCATGAGGTCGGGAGTTCAAGACCAGCCTGACCAACATAGTGAAACCCCATCTCTACTAAAAATATAAAAATTAACCAGGCTTAGTGGCATCTGCCTGTAATTCCAGCTACTCAGGAGGCTGAGGCAGGAGAATGGCTTGAACCTAGGAGGCAGAGGTTGCAGTGAGCTGAGATCGCACCACTTCACTCCAACCTGGGCAACAGAGTGAGACTGTGTCTCCAAAAAAAAAAAAAAAAAAAAAGAGTAGAAGGAGGACATTCTAAAATAACAGTGAAAAGTATAGTGTAAGTAAATACATAAACCAATACCATAGTCATTTATTATCAAGCATTATATACTGTACATAGTTGTTTGTGCTGTACTTTTATTCAATTCACAGTGCAGTAGGTTTATTTACACCAGCATTACTACAGACATTAGTAATATGTTGTACTACTATGTCACAATGATTACGATGTCTCTAGACAATAGGAATTTTTAATTTTCATAATTTCATGAACCACCATTGTAACTGTGGTCTGTCATTGAATGAAATGTCATTGTGCAGAACTTGACTGTATTTTATTATTTTTGTTGTGTTTTCTCTTTCAGATCAATCACTATTAGTATAAATAAATGCAGCTGATTTTTATATGTTGATGTTGTGTTCTACTACTTTAATGAATTCATTTACTAGCTTTAATTTTTTTTTTTTTGAGACAGAATTTCACTCTTGTCACCCAGGCTGGAGTGCAATGGTGCAATCTTGCCTCACTGCAACCTCTGCCTCCCGGGTTCAAGTGATTCTTCTGCCTCGGGCTCCTGAGTAGCTGGGATTATAGGCACCTGCCACCATGCCTAGCTAATTTTTGTATTTTTAGTAGAGATGGGGTTTCACCATGTTGGCCAGGCTGGTCTTGAACTTCTGTTCTTGTTCTAGCTCCTTGAGTTGTATAGTTAGGTTGTTTATTTTGAGATATTTAAATGTAGACATTTATCACAACAAATCTCCTCTTATTACTGCTTTTGCTGTATCACATAAGTTTTGGTTTGTTCTAGTTTTGTTTTTGTTCATCCTGAGATATTTAAAAAATTCTCTTTTGATGTACTCTTTGGCCTAGTGGGTTGTTCAAGAATGCATTATTTATATAGTATTTGCACATTTTCTCATGTTCTTGTTGTTATCTAGTTCAGTTCTATTGTTGTTGGACAAGGTACTTGATAATATTATTTTGAATGTCTTAAATTTGTTAAGACTTGTTTTGTGACCTGATGTGATCTGTCCTGGAGAATAGTCCATATATACTTGAAAAGAATGTGTATTCTGCTGTTGAGTAGAAAGTTCTGTATAGGCTTGTCAAGTTTATTTGAACAGTGTTGTTCAAGCCCCCTGTTTCTTTATTAATTTTTTTGTCTGGGTTTCCTTTTTATTATTGAAAATGGGGTACTGAATCTCCTACTATTGTGTTGCTATCAGTTTCTTCTTTCAGCTCTGTCAGTAGTTGCTTTATATGTGCTTGAGTGCTCTGATGTTGGGTGCATATTTGTTTACAATTGTTATTATCTTCTTGTTGAATTGATCCTTTTGTCATTGTTTAATGATTTTTTTTTTTTTTTGTCTCTAGAGAAAGTTTTTGACTTATAGTGTACTTTGATGTAAGTATAGCCACTCTTTTAGGTACCATTTAAATGGACTATTCTTTTCTGTTCCTTCACTATGAATCTAAAGTTAGTTTCTTGTGGACAACGTGTAGTTGGATTTTTTTAAAAAATTTAAAAATTCATTTAGCTACTCTATCTTTTTATTGGAAAGTTTAGTCCATTTACATTTAAAGTAATTATTGACAAGGAAAGATTTACTGTTTTGTTAACTGTTTTCTGTTTTTTAGTTGATTTTTTCCCTGCTTTTTCTCTCTTGTTGTCTTGTCTCATTGCTTTTTCATAATGCTATGATTCTTTGTGTAACTTCTGTAGGGTTTTTTTTTTTTGTAGTTACCAGAAGGCTTACATAAAATATCTATTACTATTATTATTTTTTAGTAGAGACAGGATTTCATCATGTAGGCCAGGATGATCTTGATCTCCTGACTCGTGATTTGCCCACCTTGGCCTCCCAGAGTGCTGGGATTACAGGCGTGAGCCTCTGTGCCCTGCCATAAAATATCTTAAAATTATCTGTGTTAAGCTGATAACAGCTTAACTTCTTTTCCACATAGGAGATCTGATTTTTACCTTTCTTACCCTCAAATTTTATGTTATTGATTTCACAATTTAGATGTATGTGTATTCTGTATTTATTAGATAATTTAGAGTTGTTTTTAGTACTTTTGTCTTTTAGGTTTTATACTAGAATTATAATTAACTTCACACCACTGTTATAGTAATAAAATATTCTCTCTTTTTTTTTGCCTGTATATTTAACTTTGCCAACAAGTTTTATATATTTTTTTGGTATAAAATACCAAAAACATACATGTTGTTGTTTAGCATCTTTTCATTTCCACTTGAAGAAATACCTTTAGCATGCTTGCAGGGCAGGTATAGCGGTGAGAAAGTACCTTGGCTTTTATTAGTCTGAGAGCACCTTTATCTCCCCCTCAGCTTTATAAGACAGGATTGCTGGGTATAGTATTCTTGGCTGGCAATTTTTTTTTTCTTTCAGCACTTTGTATATATCATTTTGCTCCCTTCAGTCTCCAAGGTATCTGTTGAAAAATCTAATAAGATATAGAGATTCCCCTGTACTTAGCAAGTTGCTTCTTTCTTGCTGCTTTCAAAATCCTCTCTGTGTTGCTCAGGGTGGAGTACAGTGGTGCAATCATGGCTCACCATGTAGCCTTGACCTCCCTAGTCTCAGGACTTCCTGCCTCAGCCCCCCCAGTAGCTGGGTCCACAAGCACATGCCAGTATGCCTGGCTAATTTTGTATTTTTTGTAGAGATAGGGTTTTTCCATGTTTCCCAGGCTAGTCTCAAACTTCTGCGCTTAATCCACTTGTCTTGGCCTCCCAAAGTGCTGGGATTATGAGCATGAGCCACCACGCCTGGCTTGTGTGGATTTCTTTGGATTAATTCTATTTGGTGTCATTTGGGCTTCCTGAATCTGGATTTGTATTTTCTTTCCCATGCCTGGGAAGTTTTCAGCCATTATGTCTTTGAATGTGTTTTTAGCCCCTTTCTCTCTCTCTCCTGCAACTCTGATAATGCCTATATTGTGAAGGCTTCATGTAAGTCCCTTAAGTCAGCAGTCCCCAACCTTTTTGGAACCAGGGACCGGTTTTGTGGAAGACAGTTTTTCTGTGGAGTAGGGTTGCTGGGGGGAAGTAGATGGTTTGGGGATGATTCAAGCGCATTACATTTATTGTACACTTTATTTCTATTTGATTTTACTTTTTATTTCTTTAGGTTTTGGGGGAACAAGTGATATTTGATTACATGAGTTAGTTCTTTAGTGGTGATTTGTAAGATTTTGGTGTACTGTCATCACTCAAGCAGTATACACTAAACCCAATGGCAGTCTTTTATCCCTCATCCCCTTCCCACCCTTCCCTCTCCTTAGAGTCTGTTGTAACCTTCTTATGCCTTTGCATCATAGCTTAGCTCCCACTTATGAGTGAGAACATAATGATGTTTGGTTTTCCATTCCTGAGTTACTTCACTTAGAATGATGGTTTCCAGTTGCTGTGAATGCCATTAATTCATTCCTTTCTATTACTCAGTAATATTCTATCATACGTATGTATGTCACAGTTTCTTTATCTGCTTATTGATTGATGGGCATTTGATCCACATTTTTGCAGTTGCCAGTTGTGCTGCTATAAACATGCATTGTATTGTGCACTTTATTTCTATTATTATTACATACTCATGATAATGTAGAATCAGTGGGAGCCCTGAGCTTGTTTTTCTGCAACTATATGGTCCCATCTGAAGGTGATGGGAGACAGTGACAGGCATTAGATTCTCATAAGGAGCATGCACCCTGGATCCCTTCCATGTGCAGTTCACAACAGATTATATGCTTTTATGAGAATCTGATGCCACTGCTGATCTGAGAGGTGGAGCTCAGCTTTGCTCACTCACCCACCATTCAGCTTCGGCTGTGCAGCTTTGTTCCTAATAGACCGCAGACCAGTATCATTATTGGTCTGTGGCCCTGCCTTAAGCTGTCTTCACTCTTTTTTATTCTTTTCTACTTTTGCTTTTCAGATTGGATGATTTCTGGTGACCTGTCTTAGAGTTTACTGGTCTTTTCTTCTGCTTTATCTAGTCTGTTATCGGACCTGTCATTGGACTTTTTGGTTCAGCTATTATATTTTTCATTTGTATAATTTGTTTGGTGCTTTCAAAATATATTCTGTCACTTTGTTGAAGTTTTCAGTTTGTTTATGCATTGCTTTGTTGAGCTCAGTGATCATCTTTATGACCATTTAAAAAAATTCTTTGTTGGGCAAATTGCATATCATCATTGAGGGTCAGTTTCTGAAAATTTATATTGTTCTTTCATTTGGAACATATTTCTGTTTCTTTATTTCCCTTGCTCTTGGTTTTGGCTTTTGTGCATTAGATAAGACTACTGCCTCTACTAGTCTTGTGAGACTGGTATTGTGTAGGAGATGATTCTTTCTTATCAGTTAGGCCAGCCAGAGTTTCTAGGTACCTCTAAAATCTTTTTGTTTGTCCAAACTACAGTCTTTGTTGTTTCTTACAGGTCTCCAGGAATTAGGGTGTGTCAAGTTCTGCCAGATGAGTTAGAAGCCAGTTTCTTGAGATGCAGGTGGGAAGGTGGGTGTGTATGTGTGTTGCAGTTCATTCTGTCTTTAGGGAGAAGCTGAGAGCCAGAGCTTATCTCCCATTCATTCCACACTAAGCTGGAGAGAGGATCTGTGGCACATGCTTGCACACTTATTTAGGCTGCACTGTCTCTCCATTGTCTGTGCAGTTCAGGAAAGCTCAAGAATACAATACCCTGTTGCTCTTAGAGCTAGGTGATTTCAGAGCCAAATCCTCTAAGAGAACTGCAGAAGTTGGATCACTATATGCATGGTCCAACCCTTCACCTCTCAAGTAGAATCTGGGTGTCGGGGATTCCTTCATGATTGTTTGGCACAGTGCCCAGGAAGGGGTTTGTGTGCAAGTGTGTCTAAACTTTTTCTACGTGTTTGAATGTGGATGTTTTCTGAGTTGCCCATGTGTAGATTGTCAGCCAGTTTCTGGCTTTCTCTCAGAGGAAATTGATCTGTATATAGATGTTTATTCAGTGCTTCTGTGGGAGGAAATAAAGCCAGGGGCTTCCTTTTCCATCATCTTGCTGATATCACTGCTAACACATTTACAGATCACATTTCTAGGTGATTTTGTTTCTGGCTGCCATTCAAATAGAACCAGGAGTATTTTTTAAAAATATATTATACCAGCATGGCCCCTTTAAGAATTGGTTCTCATTTTTCCTTGGCATATTCTCTTTCAAGATTAAATACTTAAGGATGAGAAAATAATATATTGAATTTCAGGAAGTTTATATTATATATCTATTTTATTGCTGTTCACTGAGAAAGGAAAAAGTTATATGAATTGTCACTTGTGGATTTTCACAGAGCAGATTTTGTAGGAGCAATGACTAAAATAAAATGACTATTTTATTATTATTCCCTCCTCCCCACAAGCTCCACAAACTTCCCTTCTAATTTTTTTTTGGTGTTTTCTTTTTCCCTTTCCGACTTAAAAAATTTTATTGTTTACTGGTAACCAGGCATGCATGCATGTGTACTTAGGCATATAAAATTAAATTTTAACTGATGGGTAATGAATTTGAGAAGCAGTGTTTGGAACCAGGAGGCCGTTCAGGAGGACACTGAAGCTAATGAGATCCTGAACTGGGGCAGAGTCATGGATTTGAAAAGAGAAGATAAAATAAGCAGGACATTTGCTTGATTAAATGGTTAAGGATAATGAAAGAAAGAGAGGAGCAAGTATGACTTTCTTTCTCCCCTTACATCACCAACTGAGTTGGGGGAGTGTGGAAAAGCAATGTTGGAGGGAGGAGGAGAGAGGGAAGGGCTGAATGGAGAAATGAATTTCATCTTGGATATGTTTAATTGGCATTATCCCAATTGGTTATAAGAATGTAATGGTTGGGGCCAGGCGCAGTGGCTCATGCCTGTAATTCCAGTGCTTTGGGAGGCTGAGGCAGGAGAATCATGAGGTCAGGAGTTTGAGACCAACCTGGCCCACATGATGAAACCCCATCTCTACTAAAAATACAAAAAATTACCCGGGCGTGGTGGCAGGTATCTGTAATCACAGGTACTTGGGTGGCTGAGGCAGAATTGCTTGAACCAGAAGGTGGAGGTTGCAGTGAGCCGAGATTGTGCCACTGCACTCCAGCCCTAACGACAGTGCAAAGCTTCATCTTGTCACTTTATAAATTATTTATAAATAAATAAATAAAAGAATGTGATGCTTGGAGAAGGGATGAAGGCTAGAGATATGACACATTTTCTTATTTTAAAAAGTCCTTTCTTGTTTTTCTCATCTTAAAAATAATAGTGTGTATTTTTAATGTGTGATTTCCCCTTAAAAACAATTATTATAAACATTTAAAAAAACAATTTTATAACATATAATCAATGGAATTCTATGACTAAGGAAATGTAGATTTTTTGGAGTTAAAGGTTTGATATCTTACGGACTTTTAGTAGTAGATGAAATTAGCAAGGAAAAGTATGGGGATACAGAGAAAAGGACTTGTTCTATGAAAATGATTTGTAGTTATAGAGTGCTTTCATTATATGTATTTTGTTTTTTGATGTTCATAGCAGTTATCTGAATATGGAAAATGGTGGTATTTGTATTTTCTTTCTTTTTAAAATTTATTTATTTTACTTTAGGTGCATACTATATCTGGCATTTCTCCCCATGTTATTCCTCCCCACCCTCCTCATCCCTCACTGTCTCTCCCCTACCACCCCCAACTGCCCCCAGTGTGTGATGCTCCTCTCCCTGAGCCCACTTGTTCTCGTTCAACACCCACCTATGAGTGAGAACATATGGTGTTTGGCTTTCTGTTCTTGTTTCAGTTTGCTGAGAATGATGGTTTCCAGATTCATCCAAGTCCCTATAAAGGACACGAACTCATCGTTTTTTATGGCGGTGTAGTATTCCATGGTGTATATGTACCATATTTTCTTTGTCCAGTCTATCATTGATGGGCATTTGGGTTGGTTCCAGGTCTTTGCTATTGTACACAGGGCTGCAATGAACATATGTGTGCATGTGTCTTTATAGTAGAATGATTTATAGTTCTTTGGGTATATACCTAATAATGGGATTGCTGGGTCAAATGGAATTTCTATTTCTAGATCCCTGAGAAATCACCACAATGTCCTACACAATGGTTGAACTAATTTACACTCCCACTAACTAGGTAAGAGTGTTCCTATTTCTCCACATCTTCTCCAGCATCTGTTGTCTCCAGATTTTTTTTTTTTTTAATTTTTTATTGGATTTTAGGTTTTGGGGTACATGAGCAGAGCATGCAAGACAGTTGCGTAGGTACACACATGGCAGTGTGCTTTGCTTTTCTTCTCCCCTTCACCCACAATTGGCATTTCTCCCCAGGCTATCCCTCCCCACCTCCCCCTCCCACTGGCCCTCCCCTTTTCCCCCCAATAGACCCCAGTGTTTAGTACTCCCCTTTCTGTGTCCATGTGTTCTCATTTTTCATCACCCGCCTATGAGTGAGAATATGCGGTGTTTCATTTTCTGTTCTTCTGTCAGTTTGCTGAGGATGATGTTCTCCAGATTCATCCATGTCCCTACAAACGACACAAACTCATCATTTCTGATTGCTGCATAATATTCCATGGTGTATATGTGCCACATTTTTCCAATCCAGTCTATCATCATTGGGCATTTGGGTTGATTCCAGGTCTTTCCTATTGTAAACAGTGCTGCAATGAACATTCGTGTACATGTGTCCTTATAGTAGAACGATTTATAGTCTTTTGGATATATACCCAGTAATGGGATTACTGGGTCAAATGGAATTTCTATTTCTAAGGCCTTGAGGAATCGCCACACTGTCTTCCACAGTGGTTGAACTAATTTACACTCCCACCAACAGTGTAAAAGTGTTCCTTTTTCTCCACATCCTCTCCAGCATCTGTTGTCTCCAGATTTTTTAATGATCGCCATTCTAACTGGCGTGAGATGGTATCTCAATGTGGTTTTGATTTGCATCTCTCTGATGACCAGTGACGATGAGCATTTTTTCATATGATTGTTGGCCTCATATATGTCTTCTTTCGTAAATTGTCTGTTCATATCCTTTGCCCACTTTTGAATGGGCTTGTTTGTTTTTTTCCTGTTAATCTGTTTGAGTTCTTTGTAAATTCTGAATATCAGTCCTTTGTCAGATGGGTAAACTGCAAAAATTTTTTCCCATTCTGTGGGTTGCCGATCCACTCTAGTGACTGTTTCTTTTGCCGTGCAGAAGCTGTGGAGTTTCATTAGGTCCCATTTGTCTGTTTTGGCTTTTGTAGCCAATGCTTTTGGTGTTTTGTTCATGAAGTCCTTGCCTACTCCTATGTCCTGGATAGTTTTGCCTAGATTTCCTTCTAGGGATTTTATTGTGCCAGGTCTTATGTTTAAGTCTTTAATCCATCTGGAGTTAATTTTAGTGTAAGGTGTCAGGAAGGAGTCCAGTTTCTGCTTTCTGCACATGGCTAGCCAGTTTTCCCAACACCATTTATTAAACAGGGAATCCTTTCCCCGTTGCTTGTTTTTGTCAGGTTTATCAAAGATTATATAGTTATAGATATGTTGTGTTGCCTCCGCTGCCTCTGTTCTGTTCCATTGGTCAATATCTCTGTTTTGGTACCAGTACCATGTTGTTTTGATTACTGTAGCCTTGTAGTATAGTTTGAAATCTGGTAGTGTGATGCCCCCCGCTGTGTTCTTTTTGCTTAGAATTGACTTGGCTATGCGGGCTCTCTTTTGGTTCCAAATGAAGTTCATGGTGGTTTTTTCCAGTTCTGTGAAGAAAGTCAATGGCAGCTTGATGGGGATAGCGTTGATTCTGTAAATACTTTGGGCAGTATAGCCATTATCACGATATTCATTCTTCCTACCCATGAACATGGAATGTTTCTCCATCTGTTTGTGTTCTCTCTGATTTCGTTGAGCAGTGGTTTGTAGTTCTCCTTGAAGAGGTCCCTTACGTTCCTTGTGAGTTGTATTCCAAGGTATTTTATTCTTTTTGTAGCAATTGTGAATGGCAGTTTGTTCTTGATTTGGCTCTTCTTAAGTCTGTTATTGGTGTAGACGAATGCTTGTGATTTTTGCACATTGATTTTATATCCTGAGACTTTGCTGAAGTTGCTTATCAGTTTCAGGAGTTTTTGGGCTGAGGCGATGGGGTCTTCTAGGTATACTATCATGTCGTCTGCAAATAGAGACAATTTGGCTTCCACCTTTCCTATTTGAATACCCTTTATTTCTTTTTCTTTCCTGATTGTTCTGGCTAGAACTTCCAGTACTATATTGAATAGGAGTGGTGAAAGAGGGCATCCTTGTCTAGTGCCAGATTTCAAAGGGAATGCTTCCAGTTTTTGCCCATTCAGTATGATATTGGCTGTTGGTTTGTCATAAATAGCTTTTATTACTTTGAGATACGTTTCATCGATACCGAGTTTATTGAGGGTTTTTAGCATAAAGGGCTGTTGAATTTTGTCAAATGCCTTCTCTGCGTCAATTGAGATAATCATGTGGTTTTTGTTTTTGGTCCTGTTTATGTGGTGAATTACATTGATAGACTTGCGTATGTTGAACCAGCCTTGCATCCCCGGGATGAATCCTACTTGATCATGATGAATAAGTTTTTTGATTTGCTGTTGGAATCGGCTTGCCAATATTTTATTGAAGATTTTTGCATCTATGTTCATCATGGATATTGGCCTGAAGTTTTCTTTTCTCGTTGGTCTCTGCTGGGTTTTGGTATCAGAATGATGTTGGTCTCATAAAATGATTTGGGAAGGATTCCCTCTTTTTGGATTGTTTGAAATAGTTTTAGAAGGAATGGTACCAGCTCCTCCTTGTGTGTCTGGTAGAATTCGGCTGTGAACCCGTCTGGACCTGGGCTTTTTTTGTGTGGTAGGCTCTTAATTGCTGCTTCGACTTCTGACCTTGTTATTGGTCTATTCATAGTTTCAGCTTCCTCCTGGTTTAGGCTTGGGAGGACACAGGAGTCCAGGAATTTATCCATTTCTTCCAGGTTTACTAGGTTATGTGCATAGAGTTGTTTGTAATATTCTCTTATGATGGTTTGAATTTCTGTGGAATCTGTGGTGATTTCCCCTTTATCATTTTTTATTGCATCTATTTGGTTGTTCTCTCTTTTATTTTTAATCAATCTGGCTAGTGGTCTGTCTATTTTGTTGATCTTTTCAAAAAACCAGCTCTTGGATTTATTGATTTTTTTGAAGGGTTTTTCGTGTCTCAATCTCCTTCAGCTCAGCTCTGATCTTAGTTATTTCTTGTCTTCTGCTGGGTTTTGAGTTGTTTTGATCTTGCTTCTCTAGCTCTTTCAATTTTGACGATAGGGTGTCAATTTTGGATCTCTCCATTCTCCTCATATGGGCACTTATTGCTATATACTCTCCTCTAGAGACTGCTTTAAATGTGTCCCAGAGGTTCTGGCATGTTGTGTCTTCATTCTCGTTGGTTTCGAAGAACTTCTTTATTTCTGCCTTCATTTCATTGTTTACCCAGTCAACATTCAAGAGCCAGTTGTTCAGTTTTCATGAAGCTGTGCGGTTCTGGGTTGGTTTCTGTATTCTGAGTTCTAACTTGAATACACTATGGTCTGAGAGGCTGTTTGTTATGATTTTAGTTGTTTTGCATTTGTTGAGCAGTGCTTTACTTCTAATTATGTGGTCAATTTTAGAGTAGGTGTGATGTGGTGCTGAGAAGAATGTGTATTCTGTGGATTTGGGGTGGAGAGTTCTGTAAATGTCTATCAGGTTTGCTTGCTCCAGGTCTGAGTTCAAGCCCTGGATATCCTTGTTGATTTTCTGTCTGGTTGATCTGTCTAATATTGACAGTGGAGTGTTAAAGTCTCCCACTATTATTGTGTGGGAGTCTAAGTCTCTTTGTAAGTCATTAAGATGATGAATTATTTCTGTTACTTCGTTTTCCTTCTACCAGTCTAGCCCCTTCACTGTACGACTGCTGAGGTCCACTCCAGGCCCTGCTTGTCTGGGGTGCACCTATAGCAGCTGTGGCACAGTGAGGGATGCTACCAGTTTCTTTTTCTACTATCTTTGTCCCAGGATGGTGCCTGCCAAATGGGGTTGTTCGTTTATTTCTTGTATATCTGTTTTAGTTTTAGTTTTTTTATGGATTCTATATAATTAGCTTTTTGTCAGATGGGTAGATTGCAGAATTTTTTTCCCCATTCCGTTGGTTGCCGATTTGCTCTGATGCTGGTTTCTCTTTGCTGTACAGAAGCTCTGGAGTTTAATTAGATCCCATTTGTCTATCTTGGCTTTTATTGCCTTTGCTTTTGGTGTCTTAGTCGTGAAGTCCTTGCCTTTGCCTATGTCCTGGATGGTTTTGCCTATGCTTTCTTCTAGTGTTTTTATGGTGTTACAGTTTATGTTTAAATCTTTGATCCATCTGGAGTTAATTTTAGTGTAAGGTGACAGGCAGGGGTCCAGTTTCTGCTTTCTGCACATTGCTAACCAGTTTTCCCAACACGATTTGTTAAACATGGAGTCCTTTCCCCATTGCTTGTTTTTGTTGGGTTTGTAAAAGATCAGATGATTGTAGATGTGTTGTGTTGCCTCCGAGGCCACTGTTCTGTTCCATTGGTCTGTGTCTCTGTTTTGGTACCAGTACCATGCTGTTTTGATTACTGTAGCCTTGTAGTATAGTTTGAAGTCCAGCAATGTGATGCCTCCCACTTTGTTCTTTCTGCTTACGATTGTCTTGGCTATGCAGGGTCTTTTGTGATTCCATATGAAGTTTAAAGTGTTTTTTTACTGTTCTGTGAAGAAGGTCATTGGTAGCTTGATGGGGATAGCATTGAATATATAGATTACTTTGGGCAGTATGGCCATTTTAACAATATTGATTCTTCCTAACCATGAGCATGGAATATTTCTCTACCTGTTTGTGTTGTCTCTTATTTCGTTCAGCAGTGGTTTGTAGTTCTCCTTGAAGAGGTCCTTTACATCCTTTGTCAGTTGTATTCCTAGGTATTTTATTCTCTTTGTAGCAATTGTGAATGGGAGTTCACTCTTGATTTGACTCTCTGTTTGTCTGTTATTGGTATGTAGGAATGCTTGTGATTTCTGCACATTGATTTTGTATCCTGAGACTTTGCTGAAGTTGCTTATCAATTTCAGGAGTTTTTGGGTTGAGACGATGGGGTCTTCTAGATATAAAATCATGTGATCTACAAATAGAAGTAGTTTGACTTCCTCTTTTCCTAATTGAATACTCTTTATTTCTTTTTCTTGCGTGATTGCTCTGCTAGAACTTCCAATACTGTGTTGAATAGGAGTGATGAGAGAGGGCATCCTTGTCTAGTGCCTGATTTCAAAGGGAATTCTTCCAACTTTTGCCCATTCAGTATGATATTGGCTGTAGGTTTGTCATATATAGCTTTTATCATTTTATGATACATTCCATCAATACCTAGTTTATTGAGAGTTTTTAGCATGAAGGGCTGTTGAATTTTGTTGAAGGCCTTCTCTGCATCTATTGAGATAGTCATGTTGTTTTTGTCTTTGGTTCTGTTTATGTGATAGATTACATTAATGGATTTGCATATGTTGAACCAGCCTTGTATCCCCAGGATGAAGCATACTTGGTCATGATGGATAAGCTTCTTGATGTGCTGTTGCAATCTGTTTGCCAGTATTTTATTGAAGATTTTTGCATCGATGTTCATCATGGATACTGGCCTGAAGTTTTCTTTTTTAGTTGAGTCTCTGCCTGGTTTTTCTATGAGGATCATGTTGGTCTCATAAAATGAGTTAGGGAGGATTCCCTCATTTTGTATTGTTTGATACAGTTTCAGAAGGAATGGAACCAGCTCCTCTTTGTACATCTGGTAGAATTCGGCTGTGACCCCATCTGGACATGGACTTTTTTTGATTGCTGCCTCTACTTCCGCCCTTGTTATTGGTCTATTCAGGGTTTCAACTTCCTCCTGGTTTAGTCTTGGTAGAGTACAAGTGTCTAGGAATTTATCCATTTCATCCTGTTTTACTGGTTTATGTGAGTAGAGCTGTTTGTAGTAATCTCTGATGGTACTTTATATTTCTGTGGGATCAGTGGTGATATCCCCTTTATCGTTTTTTATTGTATCTATTTGATTATTCTCTCTTTTCTTTTTTATTAATCTGGCTACTGGTCTATTTTGTTGATCTTTTCAAAAAACCAGCTCCGGGATTTATTGATTTTTTTGAAGGATTTTTTATGTCTCTATCTTCTTCAGTTCTCCTCTGATCTTAGTTATTTCTTGTCTTTTGCTTGCTTTTGAGTTTTTTTGATCTTGCTTCTCTAGCTTTTTCAATTTTGATGATAGGGTGTAGACTTTTGATCTTTCCTCTCTTCTCTGGTGGGCATTTATTGCTGTAAATTTCCCTCTCGACACTGCTTTAAAGATGTCCCAGAGATTCTGGTAAGTTGTATCTTCCTTCTGGTTGGTTCCGAAGAACATCTTTATTTCTGCCTTCATTTCATTGTTTATCCAGTCAACATTCAGAAGCAAGTTGTTCAATTTCCAAGTGGTTGTGCGAGTTTGAGTGTGTTTCTTGATTCTGGGTTCTACTCTGATTGTGCTGTGGTCTGTTAGACTGTTTGTTCTGATTTCTGTTCTTTTGCATTTGCTGAGGAGTAATTTACTTCCAATGATGTGGTCAATTTCAGAGAAAGTGCAGTGTGGTGCTGAAAAAAATGTATATTCTGTGGATTTGGGGTGGAGCATTCTGTATATGTCTATTAGGTTCGTTTGGTCCAGCTCTGCATTCAAGTCCTGGATATCCTTGTTAATTTTCTGTCTCATTGATCTATCTAATATTGACAGTGGAGTGTTGAAGTCTCCCACTATTATCGTGTGGGAGTCTAAATCTTGTTTTAAGTCATTAAGAACTTGCTTTATGTATCTGGGCACTCCTGTGTTCTGGGGGGGGGTGTATGTATTTAGGATAGTTAGCTCTTCCTCTTGGATTGATCCTTTTACCATCATGTAGTGTCCTCCTTTGTCTCTTTTGATCTTTGTTGGTTTGAAGTCCATTTTTATCAGAGACTGGGATTGCAACCTCTTCTTTTTTTTGTTCTCCATTTGCTTGGTAAATCTTCTTCCACCCCTTTATTTTGAGTCTATGTGTGTCTTTGTATGTGAGATGGGTTTTCTGAAGACAGCATACCAATGGGTTCTGACTTTTTCTCCAGTTTTCCAGTCTGTGTCTTTTGATTAGGGCATTTGGGCCATTTCCATTCAATGTTAACATTGTTATGTGTGAATTTAATCCTGCCATTTTGTTACCAGCTCGTTTTCTTTCCCATTAGTTGACTCATTTTCTTCATTGCATTTTTGGTCTTTTCTAACTGGTTTGCTTTTGACTGCCTGTGACTGGTACTTGTTCCTTTCCATGCTTAGTGTTTCTTTCAGGAGCTCTTGTAGGGCAGGTCTGGTGGTGACAAAATCTCTCAATAATTGCTTGTCTGTGAAGGATTTTATTTCTCCTTCACTTACAAAGCTTAGGTTTGCTGGATATAAGATTCTGGGTTGAAAGTTCTTTTCTTTAAGGATGTTGAATATTCGCCCCATTCTCTTCTGGAATGTAGGGTTTCTGCCGAGAGATCTGCTGTGAGTCTGATGGGCTTCCCTCTGTGGGTGACCTGACCTTTCTTTCTGGCTGCCCTTAGCATTTTTCCTTCATTTCAACCCTTGCGAAATTGACAATTATGTGCCTCGAGGTTGCTCTTCTTGAGGAATATCTTCGTGGAATTCTTTGTATTTCTGGCATTTGAAATTTGGACTGCCTTGCTAGGCTTCGGAATTTCTTCTGGATATTATCCTGGATTGTGTTTTCCAGCTTGGATTCATTCTCCCCATCATATTTGGGTACACCGATCAAGTGTAGATTAGGTCTTTTCATATAATCTCATATTTCTTGGAGGCTTTGTTCATTTCTTTTTACTCTTTTTTCTCTTGTCTTGCCTTCTCTTTATATTTCATTGCATTGATCTTCAATCTCATATCCTTTCTTCTGCCTGATCGATTCAGCTATTAAAACTTGTATTCACTTCACATGGTTCTCGTACTGTGTTTTCAATTCCATCAAGTCGTTTATGTTCTTCTCTAAGCTGGTTATTCTAGTTAGAATTTCATCTAACCTTTTTTCAAGGTTTTTGGTTTCTTTGAATTGAGTTAGAACGTGTTTCTTTAGCTCAGAAAAGTTTGTTATTATCCACGTTCTGAAGCTTGTTTTTGTCAGTTTGTCACACTCCTCAGGAGAGTTGTGATCCTATGTTGAGGAATTGTGATCCTTTGATGGAGGTGTTCTGGTGTTTCATGTTTTCATCTTTTTTGTGCTGCTTTTTTTTCCATCTTTGTGGAATTATCTGGCTGTGGTGTCAGGGTGCTGCTTGATGAGGTCGCTTGTGTGCCTGTGGAGGTGCTACTGAGTTTCTAGAGACTCCTGCAGCTTAGTAGGGAAGCTTCCTATGTCTTTTTTGTTTGTACTGGGAGATTAGGTCCGCCTCTTCCGCTGACCTATAGGTGCTCCTGGGTTGTCAAGAACACTGTCCTGTTGCTACATAGGCTTCCTGTGTTTTTTGTTAAAACATGTATCCCAGTCCCAACCCTCTGGTGGTGGGTTGTGCCGCTCCTCCATTGGGCTGGATCATTCAGGGATCATCTCATTCTGTGGCACTGGCTGTGTAACCCACTAGAGTCAGAGCTTAGCTCTCTGGGGTTTGTGGGGGAGGGTAGGGACCTGCAGGCTCTTATTCAACTCCATGCTTGTAATTCCTGGCACTTGACTGGCAAAGATCCCCTTTTTTGTGTATTTCTGAGGCTTTGTCGGAAGCACTGTATCTGGACCAGAGTGCCAGAGAGGGAGTCTCTGACTTGCTGGTCAGGTGCACTTTCTGGGTGAAGCAGTACCCTTCCCCGCCTTGGTCTGCCCCAAGTGGGCTTTGTTCACCATTGGACCAGACCTGTTGAAATGCACCTGGTACCTTGGTTGGAGCTAGAAGATCTCTGGATTTCTGCGTCTCTCTTGCTGGGTGTTGTATGCTGGAGTTGTATCTAATCTGCCATCTTGGATCTTCTTGGGTGTTTATATTTTCAAATGAAGAAACTCATCTTCATAGTGTGGATACAGGGATAGTTTTTTTAAAAATTAACTTTTATTATAATTGTCTTATTGAATGGTTATACACAAGTGTTCTGTTCTCATTTGTTTTTTTTTTTTTACAAATGGAAGCAAGAATGAAATGAAGGAAACTGCATTGATATAGTACTCTTTTCCACCCTTGAATCTCACATCCAGATTCAAATGTTAAAATTTTACCACATTTATTCTTTTTCTCCTTTATATATATGTGCAAACACAGACATTTTCCTCCTGAATGTATACCCAAAATGATTCTATACCCTTAAATATTTCAGTGTTAGTTTCCTGCATTAGTTGGTTTTCATGCTGCTGGTAAAGACATACCTGAAACTGGGAATAAAAATAGGTTTCATTGGCCTTACAGTACCACATGGCAAGGGAGGTCACAGAATCATGGCAGGAGGCAAAAGATGTCACTTCTTACATGGTGGCAGCAAGAGAAAATGAGAAAGAAGCAAAAGTAGAAACTCCTGATAAATCCATCAGATCTCATGAGACTTATTAACTATAATGAGAATAGTACAGCAAAGACTGGCCCTCATGATTCAATTACCTTGCCCTAGGTCCCTCTCACAACACTTGGGAATTCTGTCACATACAATTCAAGTTGAGATTTGGATTGGGACACAGCCAAACCACATCACTCTGCCCCTGGCCCCTCCAAATCTTCTGTCCTCATATTTCAAAACCAATCTTGCCTTCCCAACAGTCCCCCAGAGTCTTAACTCATATCAGCATTAACCCAAAAGTCCACAGTCCAAAGTCTCATTTGAGACAAGGCAAGTCCCTCCTGCTTGTGAGCATGTAAAATAAAAGTAAGCTAGTTACTTCCCAGATACAATGGAGGTACAGATATTGGGTAAATACAGCCATTCCAAATGGAATAAATTGACCAAAACAAAGTGGTTACAGGGCCCATGCAAGTCCAGAATCCAGCAGGGCAGTCAAATTTTAAGGCTCCAAAATGATCTCCTTGGACTGCAGGTCTTACATCCAGGTCATGCTGATGTAAGAGGTAGTAGGTTCCCATGATCTTGGGTAGCTCTGCCCCTGTGGTTTTGAAGAGTACAGCCTCCCTCCCAGCTGCTTTCACAGGCTGGTGTTTAGTGTCTCCAACTTTTCCAGGCGCACTGTGTAGTCAGTGGATCTGCTGTTCTGGGATCTGGAGGACGGTGGCCCTCTTCTCACAGCTCCATTAGGCGGTGCCCAGTAGGGATTCTGTGTGGGGGCTCTGACTCCGCATTTCCCTTCCACGCTGCCCTAGCAGAGATTGTCCATGAGGACCCCACCCCTGCTGCAAACTTCTGCCTGGGCATCCAGTCATTTCCATACATCCTCTAAAATCTAGGCGGAGGTTCCCAAACCTCAGTTCTTGACATTTGTTCTGCCACAGGCTCGATACCACATGGAAGTTACCAAGATTTGGGTCTTCTACCTTCTGAAGCCACAACCTGAGCTATACATTGGCCCCTTCCAGCCATGGCTGGAGCAGAGCGGCTGGAACACAGGGCAGCAAGTCCCTAGGCTGCACATAGCACAGGGACCATGGGCCTGGCCCACAAAACCACTTTTTCCTCCTGGACCTCTGGGCCTGTGATGGGAGGGGCTGCCATGAATGTCTGGCATGGCCTGGAGACATTTTCCCCATGGTCTCAGGGATTAGTATCTTGATATCTTATAGACTCTTAACAGTAATAGGTGAAATTAGCAAGAAAAGTTTGGGGTTACAGAGAAAACGACTGGTTCTATGAAAATGATTTGTAGCTTCTTGATACTTTGGAAATTAGACTCCTTGCTACTTACTCAAATTTCTGTGGCCAGCTTGAATTTCTCCCCAGAAATGGGTTTTTCTTTTCTATCACATAGTCAGGCTGCAAATTTTTCCAAACTTCTATGCTCTGCTTCCCTTATAATACTGAGTGCCTTTAACAGAACCCAAGTCACCTCTTGAATGCTTTGCTGCCTAGAAATTTCTTCCACCAGAATACCCTAAATCATCTTTCTCAAGTTCAGAGTTGCACAGACCGACCTCTAGGGCAGGGGCAAAATGCTGCCAGTCTCTTTGCTAAAACATAACAAGAGTCACCTTTACTCCAGTTCCCAATAAGTTCCTCACCTATATCTGAGACCACCACAGCCTGAACCTTATTGTCAGCATTATCGCTTATCGCTATCAGCATTTTGGGCAAAGCCATTCAACAAATCTCTAGGTGGTTCCAAACTTTCCCACATTTCCTGTCTTCTTCTGAGCCTTCCAAACTGTTCCAACCTCTGCCTATTCCCTGGTTCCCAAGTTGCTTCCACATTTTCAGGTAGCTTTTCAGCAACGCCCTACTCTGTTGTTACCAATTTATTAGTCTGGTTTCATGCTGCTGATAAAGACACACCCGAGATTCAGAAGAAAAAGAGGTTTAATTGGACTTACAGTTCCACATGGCTGGGGAGGCCTCAGAATCATGGCCAGGAAGCAGGAGACACTTCTTACATGGTAGCAGCAAGAGAAAAATGAGGAAGAAGCAAAAGTAAAAGCCTGTGATAAACCCATCAGATCTTATGAGACTTATTAACTATAATGAAAATAGCATGGGAAAGACTGGCCTCCATAATTCAGTTATCTTGCCCTGGGTCCCACCCACAACACGTGGGAATTCTGGGAGCAACAATTCAAGTTGAGATTTGATTGAGGACCCAACCAAACCATATCACCTCCTAATAACAAAGATTTTACATAATCACAGTATGTTAGATAAAATCAGGAAATTATCATTGATGTAATACTGTCATCTATAGAACTTATTCACATTTCATCAATTGTTCCAATAATATCAGGGACAACAAATTTGTCAAGCTCTACAAGTATTAATGAAGGACAGTGCCACATAAATAAAGCATACCCTTAGATTGAAATTAGAGCATTTGTAAAGAAGTTGCCTTCTGAGATAATTAATGGCCATGAGCCTCTGTTAATATGTTTGCCGTCCTTATATCCTACAATTTGACTTTGAATTTTAGGGAGAATAGGGAGTAGTAGAGAGTAAATCATTTTTGTTTTTGCTATTTGACCCTTTCCAGTTCCTGACAGAATAGTAGTGCATGCCCAGAACGTCCTTTGGGAGGAATCCTAGCATTGTTTTCCTCACTTTGCTGTAACTCTTTCTTTCTTGTCTTTCTTTCATACTTATTAAGCATGTGCTGAGCACTGAATTAAAATGATAGAACCATGTGTATGTACTGATTGTGCTGTTTTATTCTTAGGGAATAGGTTGTTTGGGCAGAAACCACTTAAAAACATTTCTGGGTAAACTTTTATTATATCTTGCAGGGATATAAAAGTGACCCTTTATAGACTCTTTGTTTGTTTGGACCCTCCTTGGTATTTCTTTTTACTTTTTAGACATTGGATCTTGTTATGTTGCCCAGGCTGGAGTGCAGTGGCTCCAGCACTGCAACCTTGAATTCCTGCACTCAAGCATCCCTTCTCCATCAGTCTCCCAGGTAGCTGGGACTATAGGCTCATGCCATCTCACTAGGCTTTCCTTGGTATTTCTTAAACATGCGTTTAGCATTTCTTAAGGAATGCCTCGATGTAAACCTTAAACGTGAATACGCTATATCGTTCCTCAAGGCCTTTGTGCCTATTGTTCCATTTACCTTAACTACTCTTTCCCCAGATAGCTGCATGGTTTGTTCCCCTAACTCCTTCAAATCACTCGTCAAATAGAACTTTCCTTGACCATATAATAACTACCTTTCCCTCCCGCTTCCTCACCTGTACTCCCTATCCATTTTCTCCATAAAATTCACCATATTGGTACATTATTACTTTCACAGCTTTGCTTGTATACTGTCTTCCATAGGAGTATAAGTTCCATGATGGCTGGAGTTTATCTGTTTAGTTTACTGTATCCCCAGAGCCTTTAATAGTGTGTTGACGTAGTAGACTCTCAGTAAATCTTTGCGAGGTGATACATGTGCTGCTGTTCTCAGTCTGATTGTGACAGTTTTTTCCCCTAAAAAAATAGCAATTCTGAGGGAATTATTTAAATACTACAACTTAAGTGCTGTCTTTCTGAGTAGGGAAGCTTTAAAATAATTTGTTTTAGAACTTTTCTTTCAAAGGTTTTATTTTCTATTATGTTATTTGGTTCTACACAATTTTCTTACCAAATATATTGAAAAGAATGATTATAATGAGTTAAATATCAATTATTTTGTTTTTTAATAAAATGAAAATGCTTTCTTACTTAATGTTAGTCTTCAGACCAATTTTAGAAGAAATTAATTACATCCATTTTTATGGGTGATGTTTGTACTTGCTGGGCTATTTGAGTTTTTTTTTTTTAAAGATAGGATTTATTTAATTATTTATTTATTTAGTGACGGAATTTTGCTCCTGTCACCTAGGCTGGAGTGCAAAGGTGATATCTAGGCTGACTGAAAATTTTGCCTCCTGGGTTCAGGTAGTTTTCTCGCCTCAGCCTTCCAAGTAGCTGGGACCACAGGTGCCCACCACCAAACCCAGCTATTTTTTGTAATTTTAATAGAGACGGGGTTTCACCATGCTGGCCAGGCTGGTCTCAAACTCCTGACCTCAGATGATCTGCCTGCCTTGGCCTTCCAAACTGTTGGAATTACCGGCCCAAGCTACCATGCTCTGCCAAGATAGGAAACGTTCTGTGAACTTATTTTTGAGTGATCACAATCACTTGCCTTCTATTAATGCTTCCTATTAGTAAATGATTGATTAAATAGTATGTGGAAACTTTCTTCTGATCAGCAATATGGTAAGTCTTTTGAAGTTTATAAAAGTTGGGCAGGAACTCTAGTTGTAAAATGTTATCCTTATATGTCATATTTGAGCATTGCCAATGCTTCTTTACAGGAAAATGTGAAGGTTGCATAGGTAACCACTGGTGACTAGGTCATAGCGAAATACATTAGTAGCTTTAAGATTACTTAAAAAGGGGAGGAGGACTCAAGATGGCGCTGTGAGAACAACCCAGGATTGAGGCTCTTGCTGGATGCGCGGAAAGGGTGAGTCGGGGACGCATTTCCAGACCGACCTTTGTTGCCCACAGAACGGGGAAATTCCCAGATATAAAACAAACGCGGGATGCCATCCAGAGATCTTGACTGGTGTAGCCAGCAGCCAGTGCAGCTGCGGCCTGCACCGGAGCGCAGAGGCGCTCCACAGTTCCGCACAAAAGCGCACTGTTCCGGGTGCCCTGTTGAACTGGCAACCCGAGACCTGAGAGGGCTGAACTTGAGACTGAACGGGACTTGAACAGTGAGCCAGCCCGGGACAAAGCATTAGGGGTAGCGCAGTGCGACAAACAAAACGGCGATTCCAAACGCTCGCTCTTAGGAGGTTCCCTTAAAGTGCAGCTCCCTGTGGAAGGGGCGTCCGCCATTACCGAGGCAATCAGCCCCTACTGAGGTACACGCCCATTGCTGATGCAGCCTGCCGTTGCCGAGACAACCCAGTACAACAGAGAGACTCCGCCGCAGGGCAGAGCCCGCGGCTGCAGGGTGGAGACCGCAGCAGAAGGGCAGAGCCTGCAGAAACAGGGCGAACCTCACACCAGCAGGGCGGAGCCTCGGCAGGACAAGTCTGCCTCCTAGCTGGGCAGGACAACCCGTCAAAAATAAAGCCCCAACCTTTTCAGAAAGAGCAGCTGAGAAAAAAGGGGCCTTTTTATGAGTTCTGTTGCAGCCGAATTAAACATAGCAGCCTAACAGCCCTGAATGAACATCAGAGCTCACAGCTCAGCACTTGAGCTCCTATAAAGTACAGACTGTCACCTCAAGCAGCTCCCTGACCCCTCTATATCCAAAAGACTGACATTTGGCAGGCATCATTCTGGGACAAAGATAGCAGAAAAAGAAACTGGTAGCATTCCTACTGTTCCGCAGCTGCTATAGGTGTACCCCAGACAAGCAGGGCCTGGAGTGGACCTCTGCAGTCGTACAGCAAAGGGGCTAGACTGGTAGAAGGAAAACCAAGTAACAGAAATACCACATCATCAACAATCTGGCTGTCCACCCAGAGACCCAATCGAAAAGTCAGCAACTACACAGACGACAGGTGGATAAATCCACAAAGATGGGAAGAAACCAGCGCAAAAAGGAAGAAAACACCCGAAACCAGAACAACTCGCCTCCTAGAAAGGACCAAAACTCCTCACCAGCAAGGGAACAAAGATGGATGGAGAATGACTGTGACGAAATGACGGAACTAGACTTCAGAAGGTGGATAATGAGAAAGTTTTGTGAGCTAAAAGAACATGTTTCAAATCAATGCAAAGAAACTAAGAACCTTGAAAAAAGATTTGAGGAAATGATAACAAGAATGGATAACTTAGAGAGGAATATGAATGAATTAAAGGAGCTGAAAAACACAATACGAGAACTTTGCGAAGCATGCACAAGTTTCAATAGCCGAATTGACCAAGCAGAAGAAAGAATTTCAGAAGTCGAAGATCAACTCAATGAAATAAAACGAGAAACCAAGATCAGAGAAAAAAGCGCAAAAAGGAACGAACAAAGTCTCCAAGAAATGTGGGACTATGTGAAGAGACCTAACCTACGTTTGATAGGCGTACCAGAATGTGACGAAGAGAATGAATCCAAGCTGGAAAATACTCTTCAGGACATTATCCAGGAAAATTTTCCCCACCTAGCAAGACAGGCCAACACTCAATTGCAGGAAATACAGAGAACACCACAAAGATATTCCGCAAGAAGAGCAACACAAGGCACATAATCGTCAGATTCAACAAGGTTGAAATAAAGGAGAAAAAACTAAGGGCAGCCAAAGAGAAAGGTCGGGTCACCCACAAAGGGAAGCCCATCAGACTCACAGCAGATGTCTCGGCAGAAACTCTGCAAGCCAGAAGAGAGTGGGTGCCAATATTCAACATCCTTAAAGAAAAGAACTTTCAACCCAGAATTTCATATCCAGCCAAACTGAGCTTCAGAAGTGAAGGAAAAATAAAATCCTTTGTGAACAAGCAAGTACTCAGACATTTTGTCACCAGCAGGCCTGCTTTACAAGAGCTCCAGAAAGAGGCACTACACATAGAAAGGAACAACCAGTACCAGCCATTCCAAAATCACATTAATTGCTAAAGAGCATCAACATAATGAAGAATCTGCAACAACTAATGGGCAAAACAGCCAGCTAGCATAAAAATGGCAGTATCAAATTCACACATAACAATACTAACCCTAAATGTAAATGGACTAAATGCACCAATCAAAAGACACAGACTGGCAAATTGGATAAAAATCCAAAACCCATCAGTGTGCTGTATCCAGGAAACCCATCTCACATGCAAGGATACACAAAGGCTCAAAATAAAGGGATGGAGGAAGATTTACCAAGAAAATGGAGAGCAAAAAAAAAGCAGGAGTTGCAATTCTCATCTCTGATAAAATAGACTTTAAAGCAACAAAGATCAAAAGAGACAAAGAAGGCCATTACATAATGGTAAAAGGATCGATACAACAAGAAGAGCTAACAATCATAAACATATATGGTCCCAACACAGGAGCACCCAGATACATAAGGCAAGTTCTTAAAGACTTACAAAGAGACTTAGACTCCCACACAATTATAGTGGGAGACTTTAACACCCCACTGTCAATATTAGACAGATCAACCAGACAGAAAATCAACAAGGATATCCAGGGCTCGAACTCAGACCTGGAGCAAGCAAACTTGATAGACATCTACAGAACTCTCCACCCCAGATCCACAGAATATACATTCTTCTCAGCACCACATCACACCTACTCTAAAATTGACCACATAATTGGAAGTAAAGCACTGCTCAGCAAATGCAAAGCAACTGAAATCATAACAAACAGCCTCTCAGACCATAGTGCAATCAAGTTAGAACTCAGAATTCAGAAACCAACCCAGAACTGCACAGCTTCATGGAAACTGAACAACTGGCTCTTGAATGTTGACTGGATAAACAACGAAATGAAGGCAGCAATAAAGAAGTTCTTCGAAACCAACGAGAACGAAGACACAACATGCCAGAATCTCTGGGACACATTTAAAGCAGTCTCTAGAGGAAAGTATATAGCAATAAGTGCCCATATTAGAAGAATGGAGAGATCCAAAATTGACACCCTATCATCAAAATTGAAAGAGCTAGAGGAGCAAGATCAAAACAACTCAAAACCCAGCAGAAGACAAGAAATAACTAAGATCAGAGCTGAACTGAAGGAGATTGAGACACGAAAAACCCTCCAAAAAAATCAATAAATCCAAGAGCTGGTTTTTTGAAAAGATCAACAAAATAGACAGACCACTAGCCAGATAGATCAAAAAGAAAAGAGAGAACAACCAAATAGATGCAGTAAAAAATGATAAAGGGGAAATCACCACAGATTCCACAAAAATTCAAACCATCATAAGAGAATATTACAAACAACTCTACGTACATAAGCTAGCAAACCTGGAAGAAATGGATAAATTCCTGGACTCCTGTGTCCTCCCAAGCCTAAACCAGGAGGAAGCTGAAACTATGAATAGACCAATAGCAAGGTCAGAAGTCGAGGCAGCAATTAAGAGCCTACCACACAAAAAAAGCCCAGGTCCAGATGGGTTCATAGCCGAATTCTACCAGACACACAAGGAGGAGTTGGTACCATTCCTTCTGAAACTATTTTAAATAATCCAAAAAGAAGGAATCCTTCCCAAATCATTCTATGAGACCAATATCATCCTGATACCAAAACCCGGCAGAGACCCAACAAGCAAAGAAAACTTCAGGCTAATATCCATGATGAACATAGATGCAAAAATATTCAATAAAATATTGGCAAGCTGATTGCAACAGGAAATCAAGAAACTTATTCATCATGATCAAGTAGGATTCATCCTGGGGATGCAAGCCTGGTTCAACATACGCAAGTCTATCAACGTAATTCACCACATAAACAGAACCATAAACAAAAACCACATGATTATCTCAATTGATGCAGAGAAGGCATTTGACAAAATTCAACAGCCCTTTATGCTAAAAACCCTCAATAAACTCGGTATCGATGGAACGTATCTCAAAGTAATAAAAGCTATTTATGACAAACCAACAGCCAATATCATACTGAATGGGCAAAAACTGGAAGCATTCCCTTTGAAATCCGGCACTAGACAAGGATGCCCTCTTTCACCACTCCTATTCAATATAGTACTGGAAGTTCTAGCCAGAACAATCAGGAAAGAAAAAGAAATAAAGGGTATTCAAATAGGAAAGGTGGAAGCCAAATTGTCTCTGTTTGCAGATGACATGATAGTATACCTAGAAGACCCCATCACCTCAGCCCAAAAACTCCTGAAACTGATAAGCAACTTCAGCAAAGTCTCAGGATACAAAATCAATGTGCAAAAATCACAAGCCTTCCTCTACACCAATAACAGACTTAAAGCCAAATCAAGAACGAACTGCCATTCACAATTGCTACAAAAAGAATAAAATACCTTGGAATACATCTCATAAGGAATGTAAGGGACCTCTTCAAGGAGAACTACAAACCACTGCTCAACGAAATCAGAGAGGACACAAACAGATGGAGAAACATTCCATGTTCATGGTTAGGAAGAATTAATATCGTGAAAATGGCTATACTGCCCAAAGTAATTTACAGAATCAACGCTATCCCCATCAAGCTACCATTGACTTTCTTCACAGAACTGGAGAAAACCACCACGAACTTCATATGGAACCAAAAGAGAGCCCGCATAGCCAAGTCAATTCTAAGCAAAAAGAACACAGCGGGGGGCATCACACTACCAGATTTCAAACTATACTACAAGGCTACAGTAATCAAAACAGCATGGTACTGGTACCAAAACAGAGATATAGACCGATGGAACAGAACAGAGGCAACAGAGGCAACACAACATATCTACAACTATACAATCTTTGATAAACCTGACAAAAACAAGCAAGGGGGAAAGGATTCCCTGTTCAACAAATGGTGTTGGGAAAACCGGCTAGCCATGTGCAGAAAGCAGAAACTGGATCCCTTGCTGACACCTTACACTAAAATTAACTCCAGATGGATTAAAGACTTAAACATAAGACCTGGCACAATAAAAACCCTTGAAGGAAATCTAGGCAAAACTATCCAGGACATAGGAGTAGGCAAGGACTTCATGAACAAAACACCAAAAGCATTGACAACAAAAGCCAAAACAGACAAATGGGACCTAATGAAACTCCACAGCTTCTGCACGGCAAAAGAAACAGTCACTAGAGTGGATCGGCAACCCACAGAATGGGAAAAAATTTTTGCAGTTTACCCATCTGACAAAGGGCTGATATTCAGAATTTACAAAGAACTCAAACAGATTAACAGGAAAAAAACAAACAAGCCCATTCAAAAGTGGGCAAAGGATATGAACAGACACTTTACAAAAGAAGACCTATATGAGGCCAACAATCATATGAAAAAATGCTCATCGTCACTGGTCATCAGAGAGATGCAAATCAAAACCACATTGAGATACCATCTCACGCCAGTTAGAATGGCGATCATTAAAAAATCTGGAGACAACAGATGCTGGAGAGGATGTGGAGAAAAAGGAACACTTTTACACTGTTGGTGGGAGTGTAAATTAGTTCAACCACTGTGGAAGACAGTGTGGCGATTCCTCAAGGCCTTAGAAATAGAAATTCCATTTGACCCAGCAATCCCATTACTGGGTATATATCCAAAAGACTATAAGTCGTTCTACTATAAGGACACATGTACACGAATGTTCATTGCAGCACTGTTTACAATAGCAAAGACTTGGAATCAACCCAAATGCCCATTGATGATAGACTGGATTGGAAAAATGTGGCACATATACACCATGGAATATTATGCAACAATCAGAAATGATGAGTTTGTGTCGTTTGTAGAGACATGGATGAATCTGGAGAACATCATCCTCAGCAAACTGACACAAGATCAGAAAACGAAACACCGCATATTCTCACTCATAGGCGGGTGATGAAAAATGAGATCACATGGACACAGAGAGAAGAGTACTAAACACTGGGGTCTATTTGGGGGAAATGGGGAGGGCCAGTGGGAGGGGGAGATGGGGAGGGATAGCCTGGGGAGAAATGCAAAATGTGGGTGAAGGGGAGAAAGGAAGCAAAACACACTGCCATGTGTGTACCTATGCAACTGTCTTGCATGTTCTGCACATGTACCCCCAAACCTAAAATGCAATAAAAAATTTAAAAAAAATTACTTAAAAAGTAATATTTTAAAGAACAATTTGTTTCCTTAATAAAATATTACATAATGAAATATATTTAATATTTAAAAACTTCTAAACATGCTATTTAGTGTATTTTTTAGGAGAAAACGTTTGGAAATTTAAAATAATTTTCGTCCGAATACTATTTATGAAACTTCTATTTAAACTTTTGGGTTGAAATTTGAAATCTTTTAAATATGAAAGCATCTGAGTCAGTGGCTTCTTAGCTGGCATTTCTGTGTATTTGCTTAGACTCTGTATCCTAAATTATTCAACCTGCTAGTTACAGTACTGGCTGCCATTTTTTCATTTTTGGTAAAATAAGGAAAAAGCATTGGAAGGAAGAAATGTATGATATTTTATTTCTATGTTTAAATAAATGCATACAGCTTTTTAAAAACACGTTTATCAATATATAATTTATATGCTGTAAAATTCTCTTAAGTGTATATAATTCAGTGATTTTTAGAATATTAACGGAGTTTCACAACTCTCACCACGGTAGAATTTTAGAATGCTGCCATTACTTGAAAAAGATCCCTTCTGTCTATTTGCAGTTATTTCCAATCTCCCCAGCCCCTGCTCCAGGTTCTTTTGCAGGTTTGTAGTTCAGTTGTTTGTAAGTGGAAAACTTTTTTTTTTTATGGTTTCCTGGTTTTCCTGGTAGTCCACAAACATACCCAACCCATAATATAGCTGACCATAGGCGATGAAGGACTAGTGAGTACTCTTGGATAAAGAACAAAGGGACTTGTGCTATGGAAAGAGAAGGTGTTTGTTTCTTGTTTCCTTCTTGACCCTGGACAGTATTTTGACATACCTAGTTTCTCTTTGAGATCCTTTTACTACTTTGGTGTTTGTCTCTTTCCTTGGGCATCCGCGGCTATGATGCTGCCTTAAGAATCTACCTTTATGTCTCAGTTGATTTTGCCCTTCTCTTTTGTTCCTTCTAGGGCAAAATCCTCTATCCTTTGCAGTTTCTCTCTCCAACAAATCAAACCAAATCAAATCAAATTCTTACTGCTTTTAATCTTGGGTATTATGAGGAAAGAAAGAAAGCAAACTTACAATAATTTGAGGAGGATTGATACTTCTGGAGAGATGAAGAAATTGCATCTTTTAAACCTACATCATTAGACTCATCAGTAAGTGACTTGGCATTATGAAAAGCTGACAAAGTAGAGTAAATTTAGTTGGCAGTATAAGGGAATTTCATTTGGAATGATGGAATTACCATAGTAGGAGGCACAGTATTCACAGTTACATTTATAGATTTGCCCCGTCATGGTCTCAGCTGGCTCTCTCCATTTTTGATGTTTTGAGCCTAAGTTTCTCAATCTTTAAAATGCAGTGGCAATATTACCTTCCTCACATATTTGTTAGGATTAGACAGACAGCGTATTTGGAAATATGATGAATAGTGTCTTACATATTCAGTAAGATGTTAGCTTCCTCTAAAAATACTCCCTTAGCAGTTTTGGTAGCAGTAACCCAGATGGCTCAAGGTCTTAGCTATCCTTTGTAAGCTAGAGACTGCTTAAATTTTTACACCAGACATTGTGCTGGGAACAGAACCTACAGAGATCAATAACGTGAAGTCCCTATTCTCAAGGAGATCACTGTTTCTGAGAGAAGATAGATAAAATAATTAACTGTAAATCATTGTGATAAATGTTATTTTTTAAGTGCTGTTGGGGCATTGGAGAAGGCTTCATAGAATAAGTCTTAAAAGGAAATTACTGTTAGCATTAAATTCTTTGTTCCTCATTGTATTTTCTTTATAAAAAATATGTTAGAAAGCTTTTCTGTTTGCTAATTCATCATGATAATCAGAAACTGAAGAGAAATTTCTTCTCAGAAGAGCACACAGTTTCATCTTATTTCTCAAATCATGTGAAAGCCACAAGGCAAGTGTATTGAGATCTCAATAAAATTTCTGTTCATTTTTTAGACATGTAATGTCTTTTACATTATTTATACTTAGTAATGATTTGTCATTCAGACAACCTCATTTATCCACTTTCTGCAGGGTTTCCATACCTTAAAACTGTCATTTTTATCTGAAAGTAGTAGTTGTGTGGCACTATACAAATTTGAGGTGTGTGTGTATGTGTGTGTGTGTGTGTGTGTGTATGTATGTCAAAATTTAAATTAGCATTTAAATAAAAAGCTTAGCAGTCATCAGGTACTGCAATGTTATATTTTTTGGCTATGTATTACCGTATAGCTGAAACTCTTCAAGATGGGAGTGGGAGGGCACTGTTCATTTTACCAAGAATGCACCTTGTTCTTATACCCTGTCCAGACTTTACCTGTTGTAACTTGGGGAGGTGGTCTGTCTTCCTTCCTTCCTTCCTTCCTTCCTTCCTCCCTCCCTCCCTCCCTCCCTCCCTCCCTCCCTCCCTCCCTCCCTCCCTCCCTCCTCCCTCCTTCCTCCCTCCCTCCCTCCCTCCTTCCTTCCTTCTTTCCTTCTCTCTCTCTCTCTTTTTTTTTTTTCTTTTCTTTTCTTTTCTTTTCTTTCGACAGCCTCTCTTGTCCAGGCTGGAGTGCACTGGCAGGATCTCAGCTCACTGCAACCTCTGTTCAAGTGATTCTTGTGCCCTAGCCTCCTGAGTAGCTGGGACTATAGGCATGTACAATCACGCCCAGCTAATTTTTGTATTTTTAGTAGAGACAGGGTTTTGTTATGTTGGCTATTTTGGTCTTGAATTCCTTGCCTCAAGTGATCTGCCTACATCAGCTTCCCAAAGTGCTGGGATTACAGGTTTTAGCCACTGTATCCAACCCACATAATGCATCAAATGCCGCTGTCTCTACAAAGCCTGCATTAATATCATTGGCCAACATTCGTTTTTACCTCTTCTATGTTCCTTTGTCATTTGTACTTAATACTGTAACCATTTTCTGATTAGAGTCCAAGCTCCTTGAAGGCAGCATTTGTGTTTTGTCATCTTTGTTTAATACTTTTGTCAAAGTAGACACATAATGCATTACTGGTGATTTAAATTGGATCTAGGAAGCTCAGGTTTGATGAAAAAGTCTTTTGTTATTCTTTAGCCCCTCTTAGAATTTTTTTTTTTTTTTTTAATTTTTTATTGGATTATAGGTTTTGGGGTACATGAGCAGAGCATGCAAGACGGTTGCGTAGGTACACACATGGCAGTGTGCTTTGCTTTTCTTCTCCCCTTCACCCACATTTGGCATTAGAATTTTAACTCTAAAATCAGAGATTGTGAAATCTCTTGTGTGTTCTGTTTGCTGTTACCAACATTCAAATGTATTTCACACTGATCATGTGCAGTAGCTCATACCTGTAATCCCAGCAGGAGGATTGTTTGAGCCCAGAAGTTTGAGACCAGCCTGGATACCATGGTGAAACCCTATCTTTACAAAAAACACAAAAATTAGCTGGGCATGGTAGTATGTGCCTGTAGTCCCAGCTACTTGGGAGGCTAAGGTGGGAGGATAACTTGAGTCCCAAGGAGGGAAGAGATTTCAGTGAGCCAAGATCTTCCCCACTGCACTCCAGCCTGGGTGATAGAGTGAGACTGTCTAAAAAAAAAAAAGTGGCTTAAACAGGATAGAAGTTTATTTCTTCTTCACATGGGTCTGGATATGAACTGTTCAGTATGGGTAGAGTAGTTCTGTCATCTTCACCTTGGTCTTTTGTAATGGATCCAAAGTAGCAGGTTCATTCCTTATCGTCTCCCAGCAAATGGAAAAGGAGAAGAGGCCAGGGGAACAAAGGCCCAGTGTGGTAATGGCAAAATACATCGTTTCTGTTTACATTCTACAGAAGAGCCTGAGAAATGTAGTCTTCCTATCAGGGCAGCCACGTTTTTAGCTAAAATTCAGAAGCCTTTACTACTTAAAGGAAGAATGGGAAAATTGACATTAAAGATAGTAATTTTTGCCATAGTTTTTAGCTTTATTTCCATTCTTAAAAATAGTAGATCAGTTGTTCCAGGAATCAAAGAATTTGAGTATTTGACTGAGTCATCAGACCTAACAGGGTTTTAAATTATATAGCCCGTTCCCTTACTGTAGGTGACACAGAAGGTCATATAAGAGCCTTCCCAGTGAGAAATTTACCGTCTACTTTAGGAGACAGCACTAATTACAAATGAAAAAAGAGCACAAACGTATTGTGGCACATTTTATGTGATATACTGTCATGTGTATAGACATTTATAGGAGATAAATATTCCTGTAAAATAGAGGAAAATAGGAAACTGTTAAAGGTTTGGAGTTGGAAACTGAAATAGTGCAAGAGTGTAAACTGGTAATAGAGTTCAGAGTGGGTGAATTATCTTTCTCCCTCTTAATCTGATTATGGAATTCAGAGTGGATAAGCTCCCTCCCCTTTGCTCTGCCTAATCTCCGAGGTTACTTATGACTTTTCAGCCTCAGTTACCACATCCAGATGTTCTTTCTTAGCCCCATTACTCTTGACTTCTTTGGAGCATTTGATACTATTGAACATCTTTTATTTTACTTTCAGTTCTGGGGTACATGTGCAGATCTTACAGGATTGTTACATAGTATACATATGCCATGGTGGTTTGCTGCCTCCATCCTCCCTTCACCTACATTAGTTATTTCTCCTAATGTTATCCCTCCCCAATCTCCCCACCCACTGCTATCTCTCCCCTCACACCCCCACCCCGCAACAGACCCCAGTGTGTGATGTGATTTTTTTTTCTGTTTTTGAAAACAGCTTTTCTTTGAAATGACCTCATTCTCTAATTTTGTATTTTCTTTCATTTTCTCCCTAAGATTTAGTACTCTGTTTTTTTTTTTGCTCTTTTTGTTCTCAGTACTGCAGCTATCATCTTAAAAAAAGGTGCAGGTGCATGTGTGTGCAGTGTGCATGTGTGTGTGTGTGTGTGTGCACGTGTGTGCATGTATCCAGTTTAACTTTAATCCTATATTCTAAATTGCCTGCTGGACATTTTCATCTTGATATATCATTATCCTTTAAATCATTCAATGGATTGCCTGCAGAATTTCTGACTCCACAAGTACCCTTATGCTTTATATCCCAGGTGCAAAATTTGCATTTTGGTCTCTACCTTCTCCTTTGCTACTATATGTTTTATGAATAAGCCCTGTCAGTTCTTCCTGGTGATTTCATATTTGTTTGTTTCCATTCTTACTGCTGCCATATTTATCCTTTCCTTAATGACATTAGGTATATGAAAGCAAATCAGGAAATGTGCTGAATGCTTGAGTTAAAGACTGTGGAGAATGCTCTAGAACCTTGCTATTTAAAATGTCGTCTGTGGATGGCAGCATGGGCATCACTGGGAACTTGTTAGGATGCAGAATCTTAGAAGCTACTCTGGGGGCTACAGAATTAGAATATTCATTAGAATATTCATTTTCATGATTTTTCTAATTGATGCGCATGCACATTAGGGTTTGAGAGACACTGATCTAGAAGTCACTGTGCATTTCTCCTTTCCTCCTCTCTCTCTCCTCCCCCTCACCCCCTTGTTTTCTGACTAGAGTGCAGTGGTACCATCATAGCTCAAAGGGACTTCGAACTTCTAGGCTCAAGTGATCCGTCTGCCTCAGCCTCCCAAGTAGCTAGACCTACAGGCACATGCCACTACGTGCAGTGCGTAGTTAATTTTTAGTAGAGACCACTGTCTCACTATGTTACCCAGGCTGTTCTCAAACTCCTGGCCTCAAGTGATCTTCCCACCTTGGCTTCCCAAAATGCAAGGATTACAGGTATGAGACACTATGTATCTCTTTAACCTTTCTTCATTTGAGACTTAATTGCTAAAAATAATTAAACCCCTAGCTATTACTCTGTAACCATTTACATTAATGTGTAAGCTTCAAAACAGATTGCTCTGTTGTCAATTGTTGTGTTGGAAGTGATGAGACAAGAGTGGAAAGTAACTGGGGGAGGCAACTGTATTTAGAGTAGTCATAGATGACCCAGATGTATGTTTGCCAGTTTATAGATGTCATTTCTCAAATTTAAAAGCAGAATATTTGGGGATAAGTTGCATGCACATAATCTTCCTGTGTAATTAAGGAATTTGAGGGGGGCATTATTGTTAGTTTTACTATATTGTAATTACTGGCTTTAATGTTGTTTTGTAGAGCAGTGTCACCTTTAGATAAACAGCATATACTTAAGACAGAAGGCTACATTTTAAAAAAGCTTTATTTATTTATTTTTTGATAGGGAGTCTCACTGTCCTCCAGGCTGGAGTGCAGTGGTGGAATGGATCTCTGCTCACTGCAACTTCTGCCTCCTGGGTTCAAATGATATTCCTGTCGCAGCCTCCCGAGTAAATGGGAGTATAGGCATCCACCACCATATCTGGCTAATTTTTGTATTTTTAGTGGAGACGGGGTTTCATCATGTTGGCCAGACTGGTCTCGAACTCCCGACATCAAGTGATCTGCCCGCCTTGGCCTCCCTAAGCGCTGGTGTTATAGGCCTGAGCCATTGTGTTCAGCTGCTTGATTTTTACTGATATCTGTTACTATATACATACATTTTTCATAGTCAGATAATTTATAGAAGTCTGTTAGGAATACAATTCTGAATATTTGGTGTATTTTCCAGATATTACTTTTATTTTTTCATTTTACTTTATTTTGTAATATGATTTTCAATATGTGAAATTCATAAGAATTTTTTTAATTATTGTGAAAGAATTTATTCAAAGCTATGAAGAATTGTATAGCTAAGGCTTGTATTCTTTTATTCATATGTGAGTTGTTTTAGAGCTTTTTGACCATGAACTGAAGAACTAACATTTTGTAGCATACCTCAGTTCATATATGCATATTATGTTACTGAAACAAAAGTTTATATTCTTGCCATATAACTTAGGAATTCAGTGTTACCATTGCTTTCCAAGACCACAGTGAACTTTTCCGTGATCACATACTCTTTCCTCACCACCAGTTGCTTGCCTCAGTTGTATGACATTTTTAGATACCTTTAATTAATATGCAATATGCTATTATTTTACATATTTTTTTAACTTATATGTAAATGGTTTCACACTGAATATATTTATCTGTAACCTTTTTAATGTCAATGTTATATTTGAGATTTAGCCATGTTGATCCAAGGCTTTTTTTGGTTTTGGTTTTGTTTTTTTAAATTATACCTTAAGTTCTAGGGTACATGTGGAGCTCATGTAGGATTGTTAAATAGGTATACACATGCCATGGTGGTTTGCTGCATCCATCCCCCTGTTATCTATATTAGGCATTTCTCCTAATATTATCTCTTCCAAATTCCTACACCCCCTGCTTTCCCTCTCCCTCACTTAGGGCACCCCCCACTCCCCAACTGGCCCTGGTGTATGATGTTCCCATCCATGTGTCCATGTATTCTCATTGTTCAACACCCACTTATGAGTGAGAACATTTTGTGTTTGGTTTTCTGTTCTTGTGTTAGTTTGCTGAGAATGATTGTTTCTAGCTTCATCCGTGTCCCTGCAAAGGACGTGAACTTACCCTTTTTTATGGCTGCATAGTATTCCATGGTATATATATGTGCCACGTTTTCTTTATCCAGTCTGTCATTGATGGGCTTTTGGGTTGGTTCCAAATCTTTGCTATTGTAAACAGTGCCACAGTGAACATATGCGTGCATGTATCTTTATAATAGAACAATTTATAATCCTTTGGGTATATACCCAGTAATGGGAGTGCTGGATCAAATGGTATTTCTAGTTCTAGATCCTTGAGGAATTGCCACACTGTTTTCCACAATGGTGGAACTAATTTACGCTCCCACCAATAGTGTAAAAGCATTCCTATTTTTTCACATCCTCTCCAGCATCTGTTGTCTCCTGATTTTTTAATGATCACCATTCTAACTGGTGTGAGATGGCATGTCATTGTGGTTTTGATTTGCATTTCTCTAATGACCAGTGATGTTGAGCTTTTTTTCATGTTTGTTGGCTGCATAAATGTTTTCTTTTGAGAAATGTCTGTTCATATCCTTTGCCCATTTTTTGATGGGGTGGTTTTTTTCTTGTAAATTTGTTTAAGTTCTTTGTAGATTGTGGGTATTAGCCCTTTGTCAGATGGGTAGCTTGCAGAAATTTTTTCACATTCTCTTGATTGCTGGTTCACTCTAATGACAGTTTCTTTTGCTGTGTAGAAGGTCTGGAGTTTAATTAGATCCCATTTGTCTACATTGGCTTTTATTGCCATTGCTCTTGGTGTTTTAGTCATGAAATCCTTGCCTATGCCTATGTCCTGAATGGTACTGCCTAGGTTTTCTTCTAGGGTTTTTATGGTGTTAGGTCTTAGATTTAAATTTTTTAATCCATCTTAATTTTAATCCACCAGTTAACTTTTATATAAAGTGTAGGGAAGGGGTCCAGTTTCAGCTCTCTGCATATGGATAGCCAGTTTTCCCAATATCATTTATTAAATAGGGAGTCCTTTCCCATTGCTTGCTTTTGTCAGGTTTGTCAAAGATCAGATGGTTGCAGGTGTGTAGTGTTATTTCTGAGGCCTCTGTTTCGTTCAATTGGTCTATATCTCTGTTTTGGTACCAACACCATGCTGTTTTGATTACTGTAGGCTTGTAGTACAGTTTGAAGTCAGGTAGCGTGATGCCTCCAGCTTTGGTTTTTTTGTTTTGTTTTGTTTTTTTGTTTTTATTGTTTGCTTAGGATTGTCTTGGCTATGCAGGCTCTTTTTTGGTTCCATATAAAGTTTAAGGTGGTTTTTTTCTCAGTTCTGTGAGTGTTAATGGTACCTTGATGGGGATAGCATTGAATCTGTAAGTTACTTTGGGCAGTTTGGCAATTTTCTCGATATTGATTCTTCCTAACCATGAGTATGGAATGTTTTTCCATCTGTTTGTGTCCTCTCTTATTTCCTTAAGCAGTGGTTTGTAGTTCTCCTTGAAGAGGTTCTTCACATCCCTTGTAAGTTGTATTTCTAGGTGTTTTATTCTCTTTGTAGCAATTCTGAATGGGAGTTCACTCATAATTTGATTCTCTGTTTGTCTGTTATTGGTGTATAGGAATGTTTGTGATTTTTGCACATTGATTTTGGATCCGGAGACTTTGCTGAAGTTACTTATCAGCTTAAGGAGATTTTGGGCTGAGATGATGGGGTCTTTTAAATATACAGTCACGTCATCTGTAAATAGAGACAATTTGACTTCCTCTTTTTCTAATTGAATACCCTTTGTTTCTTTTTCTTGCCTGATTGCTCTGGCTAGAACTTCCAATACTATGTCGAACAGGAGTGGTGGAGAGGACACCCTTGTCTTGTGCCAGTTTTCAAAGGGAATGTTTCCAGTTTTTGCCCATTCAGTATGATGTTGGCTGTGGGTTTGTCATAAATAGTTTTTATTATTTTGAGATATGTTCCATCGATACCTAGTTTATTGAGAGTTTTTAGCATAAAGGGCCTTCTCTGCATCTATTGAGATAATCGTGGTTTTTGTCTTTGGTTCTGTTTATGTGATCGATTATGTTTATAGATTTTTGTATGTTAAACCAACCTTGCATCCCAGGAATGAAGCTGACTTGATCATGATGGATAAGCTTTTTGATGTGCTGCTGCATTTGGTTTGCCAGTATTTTATTAAGGATTTTTATATCAATGTTCATCATGGATATTGGCCTGAAATTTTTTTTTTTAGTTGTGTCTCTGCCAGGTTTTGGTATCAGGATGATGTTGGTCTCATAAAATGAGTTAGGGAGGATTCCCCCTTTTTGTATTGTTTGGGAGAGTTTCAGAAGGAATGGTACCAGCTCCTCTTTGTACCTATGGTAGAGTTTGGCTGTGAACCCATCTGGTCCTGGACTTTCTTTGGTTGGTAGGCTATTTATTAATCATTGCCTCAACTTTAAACCTTGTTACTGGTCTTTTCAGAGATTCAACTTCTTTATTTAGTTTTGGGTGATGTCAGTGACCAGGAATTTACCCATTTCTTCTAGATTTACTGGTTTATGTGCATAGAGCTGTTTGTAGTAATCTCTGATGGTAGTTTGTATTTCTGTGGAATCGGTGGTGATATCCCCTTTATCATTTTTATTGATATTCTTCTTATCAATAAAGAAATCAAAAATAGAAATGATATTCTATTTCATTCTTCTCTCTTTTCTTTTTTATTAGTCTGACTAGTGGTCTGTTTTGTTGATCTTCTCAAAAAACCAGCTCTTGGATTTATTGATTTTTTTGAAAGGTTGTTTGTTTCTCTGTCTCCTTTAGTTCTGCTCTGATCTTAGTTATTTCTTGTCTACTGCTAGCTTTTGAATTTGTTTGATCCTGCTCCTCTTTTAATTGTGATGTTAGGGTGTTCTTTTAATTGTGATGTTAGGGTGTTGATTTTAGTTCTTTCCTCCCTTCTCATGTGGGCATTTAGTGCTATAAATTTTCCTCTAGACACTGCTTTGAATGTGTCCCAGAGATTCTGGTACATTGTGTCTTCTTTCTCATTTTTTTTCGAAGAACATCTTCATTTATGCCTTCATTTCATTATTTATCCAGTAGTCATTTAGGAGCAAGTTGTTCAGTTTCCATGTAATTGTGCAGTTTTGAGTGAATTTCTTAAGTTTGAGTTCCAATTTGATTGCACTGTGGTCTGAAAGAGTGTATGATTTCTGTTCTTTTGCATTTGCTGAGGAGTAATTTACTTCCAATTATGTAGTTAATTTTAGAGTAAGTGTGATGTGGTACTGAAAAGAATGTATATTCTGTGGATTTGGGTGGATAGTTCTGTAGATGTCTATTATGTCTGCTTGGTCCAGATCTGAGTTCAAGTTCTGGATATCCTTATTAATTTTCTGTTTCATTGGTCTGTCTAATATTGACAGTGGGGTGTTAAAGTCTCCTACTATTATTGTGTGGGAATCTAAGTCTCTTTGTAGGTCATTAAGAACTTGTTTTATGTATCTTGGTGCTCTTGTATTGGGTGCATATATATTTAGGATTGTTAGTTCTTCTTGTTGCATTGATCCTTTTACCATTATGTAATGCCCTTCTTTGTCTCTTTTGATCTTTATTGGTTTAAAGTTCATTTTGATCTTTATTGGTTTAAAGTTCATTTTATCAGACACTAAGATTGCAATGCCTGCTTTTTTTTTTTTTTTTCTCTCCGTTTGCTTGTTAAATCTTCCTCCATCCCTTTATTTTGAGCCTGTGTGTGTCTTTGCACCTCAGATGGATCTCCTGGATATAGCACACTGATGGGTCTTGACCCTTTATCTAATTTGCCTGTCTGTGTCTTTTAATTGGCGCATTTAGCCCATTTTCATTTAACGTTAATATTGTTGTGTGAATTTGATCCTGCCATTTTGAGGCTGTTTGTTTTGCCCGTTAGTTGATGAAGTTTCTGTATTGTGTCAATGGTCTTTACAATTTGGTATGTTTTTGCAGCGGCTGGTACTGGTTGTTCCTTTCCATGTTTATTGCTTCCTTCAGGAGCTCTTGTAAGGCAGGACTGGTGGTGATAAAAATCTCTCAGCAATTGCTTGTTGGTAGAGGATTTTATTTCTCCTTCACTTATGAAGCTTAGTTTGGCTGGATATGAAATTTTGGGTTGAAAATTCTCTTCTTTAAGAATGTTGAATATTGGCCCCCACTCTCTTCTGGTTTGTAAGGTTTCTGCCAAGAGATCCACTGTGAGTCTGATGAGCTTCCCTTTGTGAGTAAGCTGGCCTTTCTCTCTGGCTGCCCTTAGCATTTTTTCCTTCATTTCAACCCTGGTGAATCTGATGATTATGTGCCTTGGTGTTGCTCTTCTTGAGGAATATCTTTGTGGCATTCTCTGTATTTCCTGAATTTAAATATTGGCCTGCCTTGCTACGTTGGGAAAGTTCTCCTGGATAATATCCTGAAGAGTGTTTTCCAAGTTGGTCTCATTCTCCCCATTACCTTTGGGTACACTGATCAAACGTAGATTTGGTCTTTTCACGTAATCCCGTATTTCTTTGAGGCTTTGTTCATTTCTTTTCACCCTTTTTTTTTCTCTAGTCTTCCCTTCTTATTTTATTTCATTGAATTGATCTTCTATCTTTAATGTCCTTTCTTCTGTGATCCAAGCCTTTTTGAAGCAGTCCTTGTTTTGCATTTTTGCCAACACTTAGTAGTTAAAAATTTTGTTTCCTTATATGTTGGGTGCAAAATGTAGAGTTAAAGAGCACTTTCACTAATTATCAGTGAGATTGTGCATATTTTCATGCTTATTGGCCTGGCCATACATTTCTTGTATGAATTATTCATTAATATCTTTTTGTTCCTTTTCTGTTGGGCTGATTGTGTTTTTCTTATTTTCTACATTTAATTTTTAAAATGTCTTTGATTTTTATTTGCTGTGAATCTTGTAAGCATATCTTATGCATTTAATAAAGAAACTATTTTTACAGTAGGATATTAGTATTCCTGATTCAAATATGCTGAGTGAAAAAGCTGTATAAATTAGTTTTAAAATATTAGAGTAGAGGGGAAGTTTCTAGGAAAGCAAAATGAGTAAAATCATTATGGTTCCTGTCATACCTGCAGTCCCCATTTCATTCCCTGTCTCGTATCATTAAGGTTCTTGAAGATTGCCAGGACACATGTCTTCTTAGCAAACTGCTGCCTGTACCATTTCAAAATTTGAGCATGTGACTTCTGTAAACTTTCATTATAATTATATAAAACCCAGAATGCTTCTAATATGCTGTTATATTTATTTTAGCTTTTAATATTTGCCTTTTTTTATATATATATTTTTTTGGTTTCTTCTTCTTAATTAGGTCCTCGATGGGCTTCCTGGAATATTGGTGTGTTTATTTGCATCAGATGTGCTGGAATTCATAGAAATCTTGGGGTTCATATATCCAGGGTCAAATCAGTCAACCTAGACCAATGGACAGCAGAACAGATACAGGTAAACATTACATTACCAAGAAATTATTTAAAATATTTAAAATAATTTAAAAATATTTAACCCTTCTTGCATTTAAGGATTAACATTGAAAAGCAGTACTGCATATTGAAATGGCATATGCCACTTATAAAATTGGAATATTTGAGTTTTCAGTTCACAGATGTTTATTTCTTTTTGTGTCTATAGGAAAGTCAGTTTTTAATCCATTCTTTCTAGAATGTCGACTTTAAACTGTTTTAAAAATATTATTTCTTTTGTTGATAAAATTGCTAGTACAATTCCATAGTTTGTTTTATGTATGTATGTATGTATGTATGTATGTATGTATGTATGTATGTCAGTAGAGGGAGTCTGGGTAAAGATAAAGTAAAAAAAAAAAAAAAAAAAAAAAAAAACACCTCTAGCCTGAAAGCTGACTTGAATAATTTCCTTTCTGTTCTGATGTGTTCTTAGTTTTCAGACAAGGCCCAGGAGCTGTAAGACAACCTAGTGAATAAATGTTCTTATGACCAGTCTAAACTTATTTATGAGTGGTTTAACTCTGCTAGAGGTAGATTTGTAGTTTTAAAAGTTTGCCATTTTTCCAATGTGGCAGTCTTAAATTCTCAAAATTTTACTTTTTATCTTTTAGGTTGGCTGCTATTATAAAAATGATTACTTTTAGTGGTCTTATGTAATTCACAGTGAGGTTACACCACTTATTTATGCCCTTTTGAAATTATTTTTAAGTCTCTCCAAAGTGCTAAATACATAAATACATGTGGTTGAAACTCAGTGATACACCTCCGAATCATAGAGAAACAACCCAATAGTTTACATGAATGGGGTGAAGTAAGGATAGAAAAACAGAATGGAGATCTTCAGGCTATAAAGTCAAGCATAATTTATTTAGTTTCGTGTTAAATTAGTTTTTGAGCTTTTTGCTGGCTAGAGCATAAAAGGAAATGCAGTATTTTCAAGATCCTTAAGGAGAAAACATACTAGTTACATCAAAGAAGCAGAGGCTTTTTTAATACTCCCTATAAGGCACAGTGTTCTTAATATCTCTGTAGAATATGGTAACAGGTGTCATGATGTTGTAAGTCTTTTTTTATTTCTTTGAGACAGGGTCTTGCTATGTCCAGGCTGGTCTCAAACTCTTGGGCTCAAGAGATTCTCCCATGCCAGCCTTCCAGGTAGCTATGACTACAGGCATGAACCACCATGCCCAGCTGATGTTGTAACTCTTTCTCAAGAAATGGTGAGGTGTAGCTTGACAGTATAACTTGGTGTTTGCAATGGGTTATGGAGATACAAAACATTCAAGACTGAAGTATTTTGCTTTTTTAATGGTTCATTTCAAACTAAGGATAAAACATGAGATCCCTCAACAGTTCAGTTTTTCAGAAATAGTTTTCTCAGGTTGTTGAGAAGAAATGAATAGCAAATTATTTGAGATGGATAGCTGTGTAGCTTAGAGTAGAATTTTCTAATCAGAGGGCTGCATTTCACTGGTTTTCTTTGTAATAGGATACAAGTACATGGCAAAATATTGGATTTTTTTTTACAATGTAAGGATTTTAAAACCCGTTATTAAGTAATATATAATATTTGAAATTGTTTTTGAATATTATTTGATTCCACCTCTCAACTTCTTGATAGGAATTGCTCTGTCTGCCTCCCCTCTGCTCCCCTCACCTCCCTTTTTTTTTTTTGACATGGAGTCTTACTGTGTCGCTCAGGCTGGAGTGCAGTGGTGCCATCTCTGCATACTGCAGCCTTCATTCCTGGGTTTAAGCAATTTTCTGACCTCAGCTTCCCAAGTAGCTAGGATTACAGGTGTGTCCCACTGTAACCGGGTTTTTTCTTGGATGTTGTGGGTTCTTGGCCTCCAACCTCTTAAAGAATAAGTGGTGGGGCCGCTTCAGCTGCACCATATGCTCACAAAGTGAATATCGGACCCAAAAAGTGTTGCAGAAAGGTGATTTTATTTAGGTAGAGAAAAGAGAAGGAAAGGAGAAGAGGAGAAAGGCTTCCATGAAGAGTGTGAACGGGATTCCAGAGGGGAAATCCCAGAGGGAGCTCCCACCATGTGGGAGGGGATTCCAGAAAGCTGGAAAATCAGGTGCAGGTGAGGGAGCATGAACTTTTATCCTGGGAGAAACCCTCACCTTCTCCAAGACCCTGGGTCAATGAAAGCAGTTCCTTAGAACTTCTGCTGGAGTGACTGACTTTTAGTTTCTTCCCATACCCGCAAAATTCAAACATAAACTGTTGAATCTCCCAGATGGGAGGGGGTCATGGTGCTGGGAAATTCTTGCCATTAAAGCTACGTCCCCTCATGGACCCGGAAAGAAAACACATTCCCTCACCACCACATGTTGCTAATTTTTGTATTTTTATTAGAGATTAGGTTTTGCCATGTTGGCCAGGCTGGTCTCGAACTCCTGACCTCAAGTTATCTGCCTGCCTTGGCCTCCCAAAGTGCTGCAACTACAGGCATGAGCCCCTGCTCCTGGCCTCCTATGTTTCTTTTTAAAAAATTGGTTCCAAGATGGCCATTTAGGAGCAGCTCAGGATTGCAGATTCCAGCAAAAGTGCTGAGGGTGAGTGGATGCCACATTTCCAGAGGATTTTTATTGCCCACAGACCAAGAGATTCCCAGGCGGAGGAGCCCCATGGGTCACCAGCATGGCTGTTTTGGCCAGGGCAGTTGTTTTGGCCAGCGCAGCTGTTTTGCCCAGTGCACCGGCGCAGCAGTTCTCCGTACAACATACACGGGACCAGGCACCGTTTTAGCTGGTGATTGGAGCTCAGGGAAGACACAGTCACTGATTCAACTGATAGAAAAGTGGACTGAAATAGGGAGCCAGGCCAGGAGATTCCCAGGCAAAAAAGCGCCAGGAATCTCAGCACAGCTGTTTCAGACAGTGCAGTGGGTCGCCACATGGGAAATCACACAGATCCTGGCACTTTTTCAACAGGTGACTGGAACACCTGGGAAACAAAAAGGCTCTGAGGCAAGGAGCCAGGTGATCAGGCTCAGCTGGTCCCAGCCCCACAAATAAACAGCAATCAGACACTCTGGATTGAGAGTTTCACAGCAAGCACAGCTGAACCCGGACGGAGAGGTAGTTTGCCATTGCTGAGGCAGCCTGCCGTTGCTGAGGTAACCCGCCATTACAGAGAGAGTCCACCATTACAGAAGTGGGTCACCAAAGCCTAGGCAGTTCTAACTACACCCATATAAACAGGACTGTAGGGAAGTTCACACGGCAGCTGGGCAGAGCCCACAGCAACTCAGCAAAGCCTCTGCAGGCGGACAGTGACAAGGCTTCCTCCTCACTGGGCAGGGAAGCCCTGAAAAAGGCCAGCAGCACAACATAAACTCATAAATAAAGCCCTAACTCCCAGGACAGAGCACCTGGGAAAAAAAAGGGGGGTTTATGAGTTCAGCTGCAGCAGACTTAAACATACCTGCCCAGCAACTCTGAATAAACAAGGGAGCTCCCAGCTCAGCATTTGAGCGCCTATAAAGGACAGACTATCTCCTCTGTATATCCAAAGAGTCACCTCATAAAGGAGAGCTCAGACTGACATCAGGTGGGTATCCTTCAGGGACAAAGCAGAAGAAACTGGCAGCAACCCTTACTGCTCCCCAGCTGCTGCAGGTGATCCCCAGGCAAGCAGGGCCTGGAGTGGACCTCAGCAGTCCTACAGCAGAGGGGCCTGACTGGTAGAAGGAAAACTAAGAAACAGAAGTAACTTCATCATCAGCAAATTGGACGACACTCAGTACACCCAATCTGAAAGTCAGCAACCACAAAGATGACAGGTGCATAAATCCACAAGGATGGGAAGAAACCAGCGCAAAAAGGAGGAAAACACCCGAAATCAGAACACCTCTCCTTCTATAAGGGATCACAACTCCTCACCACCAGAGGAACAAGGCTGGATGGAGAATGAGTGTGATGAATTGACAGAATCAGGCTTCAGAAGGTGGGTAATAAGAAACTTCTGTGAGCTAAAAGAACATGTTCTAACCCAATGCAAGGAAACTAAGAACCTTGAAAAAAGATTTGACAAAATGCTAACGAGAATAAACAACTTAGAGAGGAATAAAAGTGAATTGATGGAGATGAAAAACACAACACAAGAACTTCGCAAAGCATACACAAGTTTCAACAGCCGAATTGACCAAGCAGAGGAAAGGATATCAGAGGTTGAAGATCAACTCAATGAAATAAAACGCGAAGGCACGATTAGAGAAAAAAGGGTAAAAAGGAATGAACAAAGTCTCCAAGAAATATGGGACTATGTGAAAAGACCTAATCTACGTTTGATAGGTGTACTTGAATGTGACGGAGAGAATAAATCCAAGCTGGAAAATACTCTTCAGGATATTATCCAGGAAAACTTCCCCAACCTAGCAAGGCAGGCCAGTATTCAAGTCCAGGAAATACAGAGAACACTACAAAGATATTCCCCAAGAAGAGCAACCCCAAGGCACGTAATCATCAGATTCACCAGGGTTGAAGTGAAGGAGAAAATACTAAGGGCAGCCAGAGAGAAAGGTTGGGTTACCCACAAAGGGAAGCCCATCAGACTCACAGCAGATCTCTCGGCAGAAACCCTACTGAGAGAGAGTGGGGGCCAATATTCAACATCCTTAAAGAAAAGAACTTTCAACCCAGAATTTCATATCCAGCCAAACTAAGCTTCATAAGTGAAGGAAAAATAAAATCCTTTTCGAACAAGCAAGTACTCATAGAGATGTCATCACCAGGCCTGCTTTACAGGAGCTCCTGAAAGAGGCACTAAACACAGAAAGGAACAACCAGTACCAGCCACTCCAAAAACATACCAAATGGTAAAGAGCATCAACACAATGGAGAAACTGTATCAACTAATGGGATAAATAGTCGATAGCATCAAAATGGCAGGATCAAATTCACACATAACAATATTATCCTAAATACAAATGGGCTCAATGCCCCAATCAAAAGATACAGTTTGGCAAA